TACCCGCCCCCCCCCAGTTTGCTTTTCTCTTTAAAAAGATTATTTCATTGTTGCACAATTTCCTTCTTCCTCCCCCTCTCCACCACTCCCAGTCCACTTTGCTATGCATCTCTTATTCTGGACAATTGTCATGCAAATAATACCTAATCATATATTTCTTTTAGACAGTTCTTTCCCTCATCTATTTCAATGCAGTGTTCGTTATTCATCCCCTCACTTCTTAGTTTTCCCCCAATCCCCATGTCAGTCCTGTTTTATAAGTGCCATTATGCAGTATTTATCCTTCTGTGACTGAGGCATTTCACTCAGCATAATGTCCTCCAGGGCCAACCATTCTGTATAATATTTTATGAGTTCCTTGTTTGTTTGTTTTTATTGTACTAATTTATTTATGTTATTGCATCAGAGAGCTGGACAATGACTAGGGATAACAGAAGAAAAGCTGATGCCTTTGAGAAATGGTGTTGGACTGCTAGGAAAACAAACAGGTTCATCATGGAGAGGGATAAACCAGGCTGCTCCTTGGAGGCAAGGATTCTGAAGCTTTGTCTGATATACTTTGGATATGTGGCAAGGAGGGGCCAGTTCTTAGAGAGGGACATCATGCTTGTGAGGGTGGAGGGACAACACAGGAGAGAAAGACCCTCAATGAGATGGATTAATTCAGTGACTGGGGTAATGGGAGTAGGTGTGTTGGAGACAGTGAGATTGGCATAGGACAGAACAGGGTATAGGGCTGTTGTACATAAGGTCACTATGAGTTTCAGGTGACTCAACAGGACATAACAACAACTAGATTATTTATAAAATTTGAATACATTGTTTTCCATACCAGTTCCTTCCCATTTCCCTCATCCTCCCACCCATAAAATTGTGCAACCCCATGATTAATTCCCCTCCTCCCCTGCACATCCTCACCCCTCTGCTTCCAACCTCTCCCCACTTTGATCCTCATATTCGTTCTACAGTAATGGTTTTATACAGTATTTGTCCTTACGGGACTGACCGTTCACTCAGCATAATGTTCTCCAGTACCTCCCAAGTTAGATAATATTTACAAAATTATTGCTCCTACGTTCCATTGTGGGTTTGGTATTTTGGAGTGGTTTTTGTTTGGTTTGGTTTTTTTGTTTTCTTTTTCTGTTGCTCAAGATGAGGCAAGCCTCCTCCTGGGCATGATCTTGCTCTCTCTCTCTCACTTTTTTGCATGATTTTTTTTTTTTAATTTTTGTGTGAGTGTACCGTCAAATCAGATCTGACTGGTACAGGAGGAGATTGTCCCTCCTTTTCCCAGCAGAGCATCTGGTGGATTCGAACCCTGTGCCTCTGGGATTGTAGTTGCAGCTTCTTGCCACTAGGCCACCAGAGCTCCCCTGCATGATATCTCTTATCAATCAATCTTAGATGCTGTCCATGAGGTCAGACCCTTGGAGATTCACTGACCCACCTGTTGAATCTGATGAGCTCCTGCCTCAGGACGGTGTTCATGGACTCTTCATAGACCACAGGGTACAACTTCATGACCATATCCAGGTCAAAGTCGTTGGGAAGTTTGGAGAGTATATCTTTGGCCAGCTCCTCAACCACTTCCTTAAAATGCAGGCAGCAGACAAAAAAAAAAATGAACAAGACCCTCAGGTTGGGGCTCTGTCTGGGGGAATCTGAAGCACCCACCCTCTCACAGCCTGCAGAAGTAAATTCTCCCCCAAGGTGGAGTGGGAAACACCCACCATCCTTACAACCTCCTTATCATCACTCCCTGGTTCAGAAAGTGATAAGGTAAACTGGGTGAGCCCTGTCCTCACAAATGGAGCCAAAAAGAGCCCAAGGGTCAAGTTAGAACTTTCTGCTCAGCTAGCTAGCCTCAGGGCAGCAATGGACCCTGCAGAATCCTTCCCTGCAGACCTCAAGGTCAACTTGACAGGCTTCTCAGCTCCTGGTGTAGACTAGAACCCGTGTCCTGTGGTACCTGGGAAGGTGGTAGATAGGCTGTTCCGTGGCCCTCAACAAGGAAAGCCCAGGGCATTGGACTCACCAGGGTTGAGCGAGACAGGCCTGGGGGAGTGAAGATGAGTTGGGAGGGCATGAGTGATGGAGAGATGCAAAGCTCTGCAGTTCTGTGCATCTAGGGACTGTGGGCCCTACTCTTCATAAACTTTTACCCAGTTTGTGGGGCATTTCCATCCTTAAATTGAGAGCTGTACAATGAATAAGGATGACAGAAGAACTGACGCCTTTGAGCTGAGGTGTTGGAGAAGGGCACTGAACATCCCATGGATGGCCAAGAGAACAAACAGATATATCTTGGAGAGTGTGGAGCCGGAGTGCTCCTTGGAGGCAAGAATGATGAGGCTTTGCTTCACATACTTTGGGCATGTTGTTAGGAGGTGCTGTTTCTTGGAGAAGGACATGATGCTGGGAAGGACGAAGGGTTGGGAAAGGAGACAAAGACCCTCAACCAGGTGGATGGACCTGGTGACTACAGCAATGGGCTCTTGTGTGTCAGGAAGTGTGAAGACGTGCAGGATGCAACAGGCTTCAGATCTTTTGTTCACAGAGTGGCTATGAGTCATTCTCTAATTGAGACACACCAATCAGCTTGGTTTACCTTCACTCTTATTACCATCTGTGGCACTGTGAACTAAATTAAGAAACCAAGTAAGATACCAAGCTGAGAGGGGCTGGACTTGGTGTAGCTTGGAGGGTGCAGACAGGAAGGGAATGAAGGAAGTGATGGAGGTGACTGGGAGTGAGGAGACAAAGTTGTTGGGTCTAGCTCTGGTTCTTGTGATTTTAAGAACCACTTCAATCAGGTCACTTTCTCTCTCCAGGGCTTTGTTTCCCTCTGGTTTCTCAACTGAGAAGGTTGGATTGAGTCAACATTTAACAGAAGTGTTGGCTGGTTCCACTAGAGGTACTTGAAAGGATTTCAGGTCAAGTTCAAGGATGTGGAACAAGTCAAACACATGGTGGGAAAGATTCTCTCCCTTTTCAAGTTCTGGTCCCCTTTCTCCTTTGTTGTTTCTCAAGGAGCCTCATGTTCCGTTCATTTAAAAGCTCTATATTATTTGCTCATCTCTCTCTTTTAATAACTGGGGGGACCAGGCCTCAACTCAGAGCCTCTGGCCAGAATCTCCATCTGGGAAGAATTTAGTTATGTGTTAGTGCTCAATTTCTTTTTATGGTCATTGTGATTTTCTGGAAGCACTATTAGTTTTCTATAATGAGAATGATGTCCTATTTCTTTTGGAAAAATAAAGATTTTTAAGCAACACACAGATAGTTTTAAAAACATTGTCTAAATGTAGTATAGACATAATGTGAATTAGCAAAAATCATGAAAGTTAGATTCCTTTAAGAGTGGAATTTTGGGAAGACCCTGACCCTTGCCTTTTGGACAATAAAAAAATAAAAAAAAAAAAGAGGAGTCTGTAGCCCTCTCAAACCCTGCCCCTCACCCAGTCTCTAAATCTTGGGCGCCCCAAAGCTACCTCCATATAGAAACCTTACTTGGCATCTACACGATGGTTCCATTTTCCCTTTCAGCTCTGTATTTAAACACTGAGCAGTAAGACAAGGTGCGTACCCCTTCCTTGGGGCTCTGCCAGGACCCCACTTCTCTGCCTTCTAGGTCACCCAGGAGATAGAAAGCTTCCAGGAAATGGAATTACATGTCTTTGCCCCGGCCATTACCTGAGAGGACTTGCCGCTCCCTGCGGACTGCCTGGGGAGGGTCAGCAGCACCCCCTGAAACAGCTGGCTGGTTTCCTGGCTGTCCTTGGCGATGTCGGCATTCGCATGGAGACCGAACACTTCTGGGTGCGCTGTGATGGGGAGGCCCCTCATATAGTCGAGGTAGGACTGGAAAGAAAACCTTGAGTTGACCTAAGTGTGGGTTTCCTAGGGTCCTACAGCTCAGTTAGGGCTTAGCTGGTCTACATTAGAGTGGGAATAACACTGTGTCAGAATCAAAACCCTTCCCTCGACCCTTGAGCGAAGCATCTTCACACGGCTTTCTAGGAAGTGAGCAAGAAGAAATATAGAAAAGGGCTGATTATTGTCTCTCCCCCGCCAGAGCCTCCCTCCCCAGTACTGTCGTTCTAGAGTTAGAAAGAACATCCATCACAAACTAACTGTATAACCTTGATACCACTGATATCCTGGTCTCCTTGTCTGAAAACTGGAAGATAAACAGATTACAAAGGAGCAGAATTCTTTCTCTCACTGTCCTGGGAACAGACAAGGCTTCAAGCTTGGTGGAAGATGGTGGATTAGAACTACCAACTTTTGGTTAGCAGATGAGCACTTAACCATTGTACCACCAAGGTTCCTTTGTACATCGTTGTTGTTGTTGTTAAATGCCGACTCACAGCTGATTCTCCAGTGGGTTTTCAGAAGCACTGAATTGCAGGAGAGGAGATTGCCCATCTTTCTCCCACAGAGCAGCTGGGGGATTTGAACCCCCAGAGAGGCCCTGCCTTTCAGTTAGCTGCACAGGTCCCTGGAGCCTATGCTGCCAGAGCAGGTGCACAACAAAAGCTCCCTCCCACCCTTCCTCTAGATGCCTTGTTCCCTCCTTTCCTTTCTCACCCCCAACTCAGTTTTTAGGCCCTTTCCCTTCTTCTCCCTTCCAGACCTGTGTTTCCAAGTACCAATTCCTGGCCTGTCTGCCTCCAAGGATGTGACTTAACCATTCTTCCCCTTTTTCACAGATGAACATCATATTTTGAAAACCTCTGTCTGGTGGCCTCGTGGTAAGAAGCTGCGCTGTGATCTCAAAGGCATGTGGTTCCAATCCACCAGCTGCTCCGTGGAAAAAGGATGGAGAATCTCGAATCTCCTTCCATGTAATTAAATATCTCTGAAAACCCACTGGAGGGTCAGCTATGCATTGTTTCTGACTCAACAGCACACAACAACCACCACCGCCACCACCACCAAATCTTTAATGTTCATCACACAATAACGATGTCCCTCTTGTAGACTGTCTGAAACATCACAAGTCAGCAGTGTCAAGGCTATACCCCTGACACTGCTTGGCAGCCTCAGCTCCATTGAGGCTAGTGAGAAAAGAGTGGGGCCGCCCTCCCTTCGCCCTTTACCTGGTAAGTGCCATGGGGAGGGATGTAGTAAGTGTCCCCAGGAGCGAGGGGGTAACGGTCGTTTTCAATCTCCTTACAGTAGAATGTGGACAGGAGGGACAGCAGGAGACGCCTGTCTTTGTCATCCGTCACTCGGCCTCCATAATTGCATTCCCCTGGGAAAACAAGCAGACAGGGCAGTTCAGTGCAGAAGATGATAATGAACTTGGTCTTTAACCTGACACAAGGTCAAAGCCTCCAGCTTAAGAGATCTGCTCGGACACAAGGTGGATAGAACCATGGTTCGGTCTGGGATGAGAGCAAGCTTGCTTGGTACTATGGTTGCTACAAAATAACCTCCTATTAGGGAGGTTTGGTGGTAAGGAACTGTGCACGCCAACCCAAAAGTACACGGTTCGAATCCGCCTGCTGCTTCATAAGAAAAATATGGGATATCTCCTCCTGTGTGACTAACTGCCTCTGAAGACCTGCTGGAAGGTCAGCTACGGATTGGTTCAGACTCTATGGTACGTTATATAGGCTGTATCTATATGGCATCTATCTATCTATCTATCTATCTATCTATCTATCTATCTATCTACCTAACTGCCTAACTACCTACCTATCTATCTAGATATAGATACACACACATATAGTGTATTCCCATCCTGACTCATCACTGACTATTGGGTTTCTGAGGCTATAAACGGAACCAAAGGAGATTGCTCATCTCTCTTCCATGGAGCTGCTGGTGGATTTGAACCTCCAGAGAATGCTCTTTGGGTTAGTGCATGGACCTTGCCACCAGAACTCCCTATCCATCTATCCACTTGTAAATCATTGCTTGTTTTTGCAGGACTGGGCAGATAATAGTATTCACCATTGTTGTTTTTCACTCCCGCGTACCTCCCAGCGTCTTCCGTTGCCTTGGTCATGTCATGCTGCCCTCTTTCTTGTTGTAAAACATTTTCATAATGTTTTCTTAGGAATTTAAGAGCAAGATATACAAAATGGATGAACTGTTTATTTATATGGGAGAAAGATGGGCAATCTCTTCCCAAGCAACTTATAACCTCTGGAAACCTGCTGGAGGGTCAGTTATGAGTCGGTTCCGACTCGACAGCACAAAACAACTCCCTTATTTTATATGACCAAGTCTAAATATGTCTTCTCTGTAGTAATGATTTCTTCCCTTTCCTCTTTCCTCCCTAGAAACAACCAGAGAATGTTTCTGTGTACATACCTTCTCTTGACTTTATAGTTGTCTTTTGCAGTATCTGGCTTTTTGGGATTGACTTACTTTTCTCAGCATGATATCCTCTGGGTTCATTCATGTTATGTTTCACAGATTCATCCACAATCTTTAACTATACAGTATCCCATTGTGTGTGTTTGCTATAGATTATCTATCCATTAATCACTGAGAGGCACTTCAGTTTCTTTCCTCTTCTTGCTAATGTGAATAGTGCTGTGACAAACATGGGTATGTGTATGTCCACTGGTGTCATGGGGACAAAGTTTTATAGATTATATTCTTTAATACTCTGCTCTAGTGGCCTAGACCTAGTGCCAACCTAAAGGCACGTAGTTCAAATCCACTGGCTGCTCTGCGGGAGAAAGATGGGCAATCTCCTCTCATGCAGTTCAGTGTTTCTGAAAACCCACTGGAGGATCAGCTGTGAGTCGGCATTTAACAACAACAACAACAGACTATGTACAAAGGAACCTTGGTAGTGCAGTGGTTAAGTGCTCATCTGCTAACCAAAAGTTGGTAGTTCTAATCCACCATCTTCCATCAAGCTTGAAGCCTTGGAAACTGTATGGAGTAGTCTTGTTTGTCCTATAGGATTACCATGAGTTGAGATGACCTCATTTCCACTCTGTAAATTTCTACTCCAAATCAGCACATCAGCTCAGACTCAGCTAAATGCTCCTGAGTCTGCACTGGCTCATAGCTGATACATGCTGCAGTGGGTTTTCAGAGGCAGTAAGTCACATGATCAGGAGGAGGAGAGGGGGGAGACTGCCCACCTTTCTCCCTCAAAGAAGCTTGTGGGTTTGAACCATGTACCTTTGGGTTGGCAGTGCAATTCCTTACCCTTTAGGCCACCAGAGCTCCTGGTGACTAATATCAGTACACACTGGGGGAGTGATAACAACTTGCTCATGGATATAACAAAATGCTGTCGTGACACCATGGTCTCTCTGCTGGGCAATATTTTCTTCCTCATTTTTTTAATATTTTATCACTTTTTTGTGTGTGTACCGTCAAATCGGATCTGACTGGTACAGGAGGAGATTGCCCCTCCCTCTCCAGCAGTGCATCTGGTGGATTCGAACAGCGTTCCTCTGGGATTGCAGTGCAGCTTCCTGCCACTAGGCCACCAGAGCTCGCTTATTTTCTTCCTCTTGATGATTACCCTCCTTCCTCTTCTCCTTATAAAACTCCTACTCATCCTTCAGAGCCCATCTCTTAAGCCTTTAGGAAGTTTTCAGTTAGCATCCTCTCCTTCCCCTATGTTCCTTTCCAGAGGCTTAAACACTATCTGCCTGTCTACTTCAGAAACCTTTCCCCTGGTGAATGTAGAACTGTCTTCTAATATCTTAATGACCTTAGTTTTTTACCCTCTCCAGCACAGTGACCAGCACTGTTGGTAAATGCTTCCTGTTGGCTGACTAAATGAATAAAGAGGGCAGAGCAGAGGAACAGGAGGACGGAGCTTGGTATCTGATGCTTACCTGTCAGATACGTCAGAGCATCAAAGGGCACCTCGACGTATTCGTTCAGGAACATCTTGATCTGCTGCATGCTAATCCTCAGGTCGGATTCATTGAACTCATAAGGAATATTCCAACCTGCATGGGGCGGAGAAGAAGCGGAGGCTTCAGATCCAAGCTCTCTCAATTTCCTCTAAGAGATCGGGCTGGTAGAGTTACGCAGTTATGTATCAAGAGCCTCAGTCAGCCCATGAATATCAAGCAAAGGGCCACGTATTAGTCTTGACATTTACGGGCAGCATGGGAGCCATTCTGCTTGCAAAAACAACCACTCTAAATCAATTTCCTGATGGGTCTTGCCATTTGTTAAGGAAGATGTTAACATCCTGGGATTTGTGGAATGAGAATAATTTATCCTGGCTGGAATAACATGGTGCTTGGTGTACGGAGCTCCAAAAATAGTAGGGAAGCAGAGCAATGTCTGGGATTAGGTAACAGAACTAAGTGAGCACTGAGAATTCCTCTCCTGGTGCTCGTGGGAGAACTGAAGGGCCAGCCTCGGAGCAATTGAGGCTTCTATTTCCAAGGGCAGTGGCTGCCTGGTTGGCACCAACAGTTAAGAGCTTGATTAGACCCAAAAGGTGGGCAGTTGGAACCCACTCAAATGTGCCCAGGACACAGGAGCTTCTAGAAAACTCTATGCAGCGAATCTACTCAGCACACACAGGGCCAGCCTTCATAGGAATGCACTCAAGAGCAACTAACAGCAGCAACAACTTCTAAGGATTGATGTCCCCGGGTGGTGCCCGCGATTAAACGCTTGCCTGTTAGGAAAACAGCTGGCAGTTCAAACCCTTCAAACCCCTCACAGGCACTTTGGAAGAAAGACCTGGGATCTACTTAGAAGGATCATTGGCAATGAAGTTCTACTTTGGACACATGGCATCATCCCAAGTCAAGTCAGAAGTGACTTGAATGACAACTGGTATTTCCAAAAGTGGTGTGTTAATTAGATGTCCTCTGGGCCTGGAAATGCAACACGAACATGTGAACCAAACCCAGCCCAGGATCAGTGCGCTACGGATGGGGGGCTTGCTTTCCTGTCAGACATTCCCGCTCAGGTAAAACTAATCTCATAATAAAATTTGAGTGCTCACAACATACAGCACACTGGGGAGGGTGTTTCAAGCCAAGGTCTTGTGTTGAATTTCCAAAGACTGGCATGCACAGGAGAAGAGTGGTGGCGGGAGAAGGTGACACTAGACTGGGAGAGGCTGAGAGGCTGTCTTCCTTGGCAGTCATAGAAAAGAATCAGGTGGTCTCTGGAGCTAACTAGGGCAAGGAGGGGGCACAAGAAAAGGACAGGATGCTCAGAGACATCGTACCTGGTCTCCTTGTTGTTGTTGTTATGTGCCATCGAGTCGTTTGCAACTCATAGCGACCCTAGTACAAGAGCCCTAAATGCCATTCTATCCTGTGCCAACCTAGCCATCTCAAACACATTCATTCCCACCACTCCACTCACAGACTCGATCCATCTCATCGAGGGTCTTCCTCTCCTTCGCTGTCCCTCCACTCTCCCAAACATGATGTCCCTCTCCAAGGACCAGTCCCTCCTTGCAACATGCCCAAAGTATGTCAGACAAAGTTTCAGAATCCTTGACTCCAGGGAGCATTCTGGCTTTACCTTCTCCAGCACAAACCTGTTTGTTCTCCTAGCAGTCCATGGTGTATTTAACACTCTTCTCCAGCACCACAGCTCAAAGGCATCAATTCTCTTTCTATCATCCCTATTCATTGTCCAACTCTCTGATGCATAGCACATAATTGCAAAGACTATAGCCTGGATCAGGCGCACCTTAGTCTCCAGCCTGACGTCGTTGCACTCCTGGTCTCCTTAGCTGACCCAAAAGAATAGCTGGCAAACATAAAATGCTGGTGAGGTTGCAGAGAAACTGGAACCCTTATTCACTGCTGGTGTGAGTGTAAAATGTGCAACCAATATGGAAGGCCATATGGCGCTTTCTCAAAAAGTTGCAAACAGAAATACCATTTGACCCAGCAATTCCACTACTGAGAATATACCCTAAAGAAATGAGAACTGCCACCCAAGCAGATACATGTTCACCCATGTTTACTGCGGCTTTGTTCACAATAGCAAAGAGTTGGAAATATCCCAAGTGCCCATCAACAAACGAATGGATAGAGAAGCTCTGGTATATTCACACAATGGAATACTATGCTGCATTGAAAATCAAGGAACTCGTGAAATATTATACAAAATGGTGACCCTGGAGGACATTATGCTTAGTGAAATATCTCAGTCACAAAAGGACAAATACTGCATAGTGCCACTGTTGTAAAGAGGGACTGACATCGGAGTTGGGGGGAAACTAAGAAAAGAGGGTATAAATAGTGTATACTGCATTGAAATAGATGAGGGAGAGTACTGTTGAAGAGGAATATATGATTAGGTATTATTGTCATGACAAGAGTCCAGAAAGAAACCTACATAGTGGAGTGGACTGAGGGGGAGGGGATTGTTTAACAATGAAATTATTATTATTATTTTTTACTTGTCAAAGAGAAAGGCAAACTGGGGGGGAAAGGGTGGGCAGAGAGGAAAGTGCTACAATGAATGAATGAATGAATGGAAATGAAAAAAATAAAATTCAAAGGCTGAAAAAAAGAATAGCTGCGAATGCCTTGAGCTGGTCACACCAATGCTACGTAAAGAATCAGCAAACAGCCCATGGGAAGGAGGAATACAGTCTGATCTTAAACCTGGCTGATAAGCGCTTTCTACCTGGCAGTTTAATGATCTACTCTAACAGGGCTATTCAGTTACTATAAGTTAAGTGTGAATGGTTAATAACACTAACTTTTCTTCTCTCCCCCCCCCCCCAAGAAGTAGCAGGGTCAAATGTCCTGGGAATAGTGCTGCTTTCACTGTTATTCACACATAAACAACTCCCTCACTCATTGCCCCTGAGCCCGAACCAGCTCATAGCTGATCCTCTACTGGGTGCCGAGGCTGTCAATGGAGGGAGGTTTCCCATCTTTCTTCTGAGGAGACACTGGTGGCTTTGACCTGTCACAGAGCTGTGCTCTTGGGGTGAGCAGTGCACCTCTTGACAGACCAGGCCCTCAGAATGTGTGTGTGTGTGTGGGGGGGAAGCCACCTACAGTGCCATGAATTGCCTGGTGATAATTCCATGGGGAATGGTCACTGCACTGCACCTATGATTGCTATTGATGTTCTCAGGTGCCAACTAGTTAACTATGGCTCCCAGTCACCCTATAAACAACTGGTCGGCACCCCGTCCTATCCCGTACCACTTTCCTATCTCTGCCACCCTCAAATTTATTGCTGTAGCCGCGGATTTGATCCATCTCGTTGGGGGCCTACTCTATCTTTCTTTTTTTTTAAATAAGATTTTGATTTTTATACTGGCTTACTTAACAAAGTTGGTATACATTGTTTTTCACAGCGGATCATAGGACCGCCCCTCCCTAGAGCAGTAAACATAACTCAGTAGGCCAAAGGGAAGCCCTCTCCCTCATGTTCTCCAGACCACACTACTTCTGTAATGAGGGGATCTTCACTGTTATGATTATTTCTCTGACATTGACATTGACATTGACATTGACCTGGTTATAGTGTTGTCAAGCTTGGCAAACCAAAATGAAGGAAATACAGCTATACTTTAATTTAAGATAAAATCGGTTTCAGGATGTCTCACATATTACATAGGACACGCCTCTATGCTGTATATTATACTGGTAACCCTGCTGAGGGTGGATACACGCAGAGACACACACCTTCATCCAGCTGTCATTTCCCCTGCAGGGAACTCAGACGGGTTATCTTTGGAAAGATGGGGGTTGCATGCTCTTCTCAAAATTTTTTTTTAAAATTCTTGTTGTGAACCATCAAGTCAGATCCAACTGGCACAGGAGGAAATTGCCCTTCCTTCTCCAGTGGAGCATCTGGTGGATTTGAACTGTGCACCTTGGGGATTGCAGTGCAGCTTTTTGACACTAGGCCACCAGAGTTCCCTCTTCTCAGTTGCACCATTATTTTACATGAGACTCTGACTCCATGATTCATTCTCTTCACATACAAAACTACATCACTGCAGTTACTATGATATACTTTCCTAGATTGTACTAAATATTCTAGCCGAATTGAATTAGATAGTAGGTATCAGTGAGTTTTCTAAAAATTACTTCAGTAACATCTTTCTAGAGTTAGCTGAAACACTAATTTACAAAATAAAATACACATAATTCCCTTTTTATTCACAAATGCTTTCTTTCTTATTTCCTAGCTATCCAGAATATGAGCATTAAGAAAAATTAAAGATGGTGAAAATAAGAAAAATTGCCGGAAGTATATACCATATTTCCAAAGTAAATGTTTATCATTACCTAAGAATAATATCTTTATAACTTATATTCAGTACACTTTTGTTGTCTCCAGTGATTTTGACATGGAACAGATTGAGAAAAAAAAATTCAATAGAACATGTTCCTCTCAGGGAGCTCTGGTGGCATAGTGGCAAGAAGCTGCACTGCGATCCCGAAGGCTCATAGTTCGAATCCACCATGTGTTCTGCTGGAGAAGGAGGGGTAATCTCCTCCTGTGCCAGTCAGATGTAATTTGATGGTACACAACAACAACAAAAACAAAATTTAAACCACCCAAGCGGATATGTGCACACCCTTTTTATTGAGGCTTTCCTTGTTCACAATAGCAAAGAGTTGGAAACGAATGGACAGAGAGTGGTATATTCACACAATGGAATAGTAACCTGTATTGAAAAACAAGAAACTCATGAAATATTACACAAAATGTATAACCCTGGAGGACATTATGCTGAGTGAAATATCTCAGTCATAAAAGGACAGATACTGCATAGTGTCACTGTTGTAAAATGGGACTGACATTGGCATTGAAGGGAGACTGAGAAAGATGGGATAAATTATGTATACTGCATTGAAACAGAAGAGGGAGAGAACTGTTTGAAAGGGATAGATGATTGGGTATTATTTTCATGATAGGAGTCCAGAATGAAGGCTGCGTAGTGGAGTGGACTTGGGGGGAGGAATTGTATGACAATGAAAGAATTTTTCTTTTACTTTTCAAAGAGAAGAGTGAATTGGGCGGGGAGGGGTGGGCAGGGAGAAAAGTGCAACAATGAATGAATGGAAATCCAAAGTTTGTAAATTTTCATTAGAATTAATTAATAAAAAAGGAGTAAAAAAAATAAACAAAGAACAGGTTCCTCTGAATCACTTTAAAGTTGTAATTACAGTAGAGAAGAACAACCATGCTATTTGTCATTCACTCCCTTTCTGAGATGCTTTTGTTTTCTAATTGATCAAGTATTACTTTTTATTTCTTTCTTTGCAGTTCTTGGTAAAATCAGGAGTACTGCTGGAAGTCCCTCCTTACTCACCCAGCGGCCCAAAGTTTCTCCTCTCTTGAACCACGGCGTGGAAGAAGCAAAGGCCAAACAGAAGCTTGTGCCACATCACTGGCTTCTCACAGCTTTGGAAGAACAGGGGGTCCGAGATGGGATCATTGAGGTAGGAGCGTAAAAGGTTGGCCCGGAGCCCCTTGGGAGGCTCGTTGGTCATTTTGATCCCATTCTGGAGAATGCTGACTGGAAACTTCTCTGATGGGTAGCTGGTCAGCCAGAGTCTGCAAAGGACAACAGATCCAACCATTCAGAGCAGTGCAATAAAAGCAAGAAATAAAAGCACATGAAAAGCAGTCAGAAGTAATTGTAGCTACAGTTAATATTAAACACTCTAGAAAGAAATACATTACAATATATAGTGAAGAGACTGAGATTGTTAGCAGTTTTAGTTTGCTTGGCTCCACAATCAACATTTTTGGTACTAGCAGCCAAGAAATCAAAAGACAAATTGCATTGGGAAAGTCTGCTATCAGGAGTACTGAAAAGCAACAGCAACAGTTTAGAGACTAAGGTGCATCTGATCCGGGCCATAGTCTTCACAATTGCTTGCTATGCATCAGAGAGTAGGACAATGACTAGGGATGATAGACAGAGAATTGATGCCTTTGAGCTGTGGTGCTGGAGAAGAGTATTGAATATACCATGGACTTCCAGGAGAACAAACAGGTTCATTCTATAAAGAGTGATGCCAGGCTACTCCTTGGAGGCAAGGATTCTGAGGGTTCGTCTGACATACTTTGGACATGTTGCAGGAGGGACCAGTCCTTGGAGAAGGACATCATGCTTGGAAGGGTGAAGGGACAGTTCAAGAAAGGAAGACTCTGGATGAGATGTATGGATTCAGTAGGTGTCTCAGAGACAGTAAAGTTGGCAGGTTTCAGGGCTATTGTATTGCTATGAGTTGCAAGCGACTTGATGGCACCTAACAACAACAATAAATAAGACATAAATAACTATGTGATAAGAAGGACATTATGCTGAGTGAAATATCTCAGTTACAAAAAGATAAATACTGCATAGTACCACTGTTATAAAGCATGTATGACACAAGGGTTTGGGAGAAAAATAGGATAAGAGTGGATAGATAATGACCATTGCACTGGAACAGAAGGAAAGAATTGTTTAAAAGGAATATAAGATTAGGCATTATATGTACAACAACAGCCCAGAATAAGAGGTACGTGGCAAAGAGGATGCGGAGGGGAGGAGCGAGGCAATTGTGTAATGTTGTTGTTGTTGCTTGCCATCAAGTCCAGCACAACTCATAGTGACTCTATGAACAAAAGACCTAATGCATTTCCATAACTGTCGTCATTTTATCAAGTTCATAGTGTTTCCAGAGGTATGTGGTTTAGGAAGTGGAGGCCATAATGAATGAATATATATTTAAGAAACATGAACTGGGAGAGGTGGAAGGGAGAGAGGGGGGGTAAAAATGTGTTGCAACGAATGAATGAATGAAAATCAAACTTTTCTGTAAACTTTCATTAAAATCACTATTAACACAAAAAAATTTTAAAAATAAAAGAATTTACGTTTTCTCATTTGCTTCTGTCTTAATCCTCACCTAATGCGGAGTATACTGCTGTTGTTGTTGGTGTGAACTGTGGCTTTGGGGCAAATTCACAGCTGATCTTCCAGGGTTTTTTTCAGAGACAATCAGTAGCATGGGAAAAGACTGTGCATCTTTCTCCCTTGAAGCAGCAGGTGGATTTGAGGCACGTGCCTTTGAATTGGCAGCACAACTCCTTAAAACTAAGCCACCAGAGCTCCCAGGGAGTGTATTACTATCTGTCCCCTTTTACCTAAGAAACGATCCCTGGTGGCACACTGGTTAAACACTGGGCTGCTAACCAGAAAGTCAGTGGTCTGAACTCTTCAAGTGCTCGTTGGGATAAAGCTGTCTCGTAGCCTTCTTCTGTAAAGGCTGTTGTGCACCGCTGAGTGGGAAACAACTCAGAGCTGACCCGCCAGCAGGTTTTCAGAGGCAGGAAACCACACGGGAGGAGACTGCCCATTTCTCGCAAGTGGAGTAGCTGGTAGATTTGAACTCCAGGCCTTTAAATTGGCAGTGCGACTCCTTAGCACTGAGCCACCAGAGCTCCCAGTGATGATTACAGCTTTGGAAACCTGATGGGACAGCTCTTCTCTGACCTAGAGGGTGGCTGAGTCAGGACCCACTTTGTCGAAACAGTGGACAGTTTTATAAACAGAGGAAGCAGAGGCATGGAAGGGAGAAGGAGTAAAGAATTCTTTACTCAAAGGACTTAGGTTTTGTCCTTGGTTCTTGGGAGATAACTCTAAACCCCAGAATTCCCTCAATGACAAAACTATCTTTGTTAAGTATGAAATGGCATCTGATCCCACTTAATGAACTATGCAAATGAGAAAATTTTATGCTAGGTAGGGACCGGCCATGCCAGAAACCATGACATCAGCCTGACCTTTAGGGAGGGGAGGTGGACTAGAGGTTAAGTTCAATCATACGGGCCATGTTGCAATCAATCATACCTACATAACATTGCTGTTGTTAAGTACCATTAAGTCGAGTACAACTCATAGTGACCCTTAGAACAACAGATCTGAACTCTGTACTATCCTGTGCCATCCTCACACTTCCTGACACACTAGGACCCACTGTGGCAGACACTGTGTAAATCCAGCTAGTCAAGGGTCTTCCTCTCCTTCGCCGACCCTCCACCCTTCCCGCATCATGTCCCTCTCCAAAGAACAGCGCCTCCTAGCAAAATCCCGCAAGTATGTGAGGTGAAGCCTCATCCTTCTTGCCTCCAAAGGGCACTCCAGCTGCACCCTCTCCAAGACAAATCTGTTTGTTCCTTGATAGTCCACGGGATGTTCAGTGCTCTTCTCCAACACCACAGCCCCAATTCTCCTCGTGTCATAAGTATTCATTGTCCAGCTCTCAGATCGATAGCAAGTCAATGGGAAGTAATTGCAATCTAAATTAATTTCCTCGTTCATTTCTGCGTCCCCAGCCATGAGCACAAAGCCCCAAGAAGGCAGAGTCTCACCTGAAATGGCTGTTGGTGTTCTCGGGAATGATGACTTCTTCGCAGATCTTCTCCAGTGTGGGCATCCAGCTGGTGGCCAGATGGCAGTTCTGTAAGACCACCCAGGTCCCATCTTTAAGGGCCGTGTTGATCATCTGGGCAGCAATAGGGCCTTGGCCTTGGCCAAGGGAGATGGTCTGTGTTCTGACACCGCCCATGCCAATATCATCGGCAAATTTCAACAAGCCTGCAGCCAGTGAGAAGAGAGATTATTTTTAAAACGAGAACAGACCAGATAAGATTCTATTTAAAAACACAATAGGAAAGGTTACATTACAATGCTAGTTTCAGGGGAAAAAAATTATCTTATTTTTAAAAAAAATCTTAGAGAACTGTATAAAAGGAATATATAATTAGGTATTATTGGTATGACGAGAGTCCAGAATAAGAGCTGCATAGGAAAGTGGTCTGGGGATCGGGGCTGCATAACAATGAAGGAACATTTTTTCCCAAGGAAAAAAAGCCAACTACAGGGAAGGAGAGGCAGGGAGGAAAACGTGCAACAATGAATGAACGGAAATCCAATTTCTTTATAGACTTATAATAAAATCTCAGTTAAAAAATCTTAGTAATTTCTAAACAAATTCTCTCTTCCGCCCCTCCCCCTGCCTGAGGAACATTTAAAAAAAGTTTTATACTTATTTCTTTACAAAGTTTGAACACATTGTTTTTCACAAAAGATCCTTCCCATTTCCTTCACCCCCCCCCAGCAGAGTGTGCAACCCTAGGATTAACACCCTATCCCCTCATCCTCACCCCCCCCTCGCTCCTTGGATCCTCATATTCATTCTATAATAATGGTAATAAACTATCTCTTTAGGAAAGCTTCAGGTTCCTGATAATCTATACCATACTGAACTCAAAATACACAAGACAGTATTTTTTTTAAAAAAAAACACTAAGCAATCAACAATTTACTTGGGAAGAACAATCCAGGTCTGTATGAAAGGAAAACCCCAGGTGCTAAAAATGAAGAAGGGAGTTGTGAGGGCCTAGCCGTGAGGAGCTGTGCTGCCAAACCGAAGGCAGGCAGCTTGAACCCACCAGCAACTGTGTGGGAGAAAGACGGGCAATCTCCTCCCATGGGACTTACTGTTTCTGAAAACCCACTGGAGGGCCAATTATGAGAAGAGTCAGTTCCAACCCCACAGAACACAACAACAACAAGAACCAAAATAAAGAAGTAGCTCAAAACCTCAGGAGAGCACACAATTTGCTATACAGCTCTCATTCTGGACTGTTGTCATACAAATAATACCAAATCATGTATTTCTTTTAGATAGTTCTTCCCCTCATCTATTTAAATGCAGTGTTCATTATTTATACTCTCTTTGTTTACTCCCAACCCCCATGTCAGTCCTGTTTCATAACAGTGGTATTATGCAGTATTTGTCCTTTTGTGACTGAGGTATTTCACTTGGCATAATGCCCTCCAGGATCACCCATTTTGTAGATTATTTTATGAGTTCCTTGCTTTTCAGTGCTGCATACTATTCCACGGTGTGAAAAAACATCTCACAACTTCTCGATTCATTCATTTGTTGATGGGCACTTGGGTTGCTTCCATCTCTTCGCTATTATGATAAATATGGGTGTGGGAACTGAGGCTTTTGCATAAAGTTCTAAGTCTAAAAGGATTGTGACTTCATGTTAAGAAGACTTTAAATTCAGGCTACAAACTCTGGGAGGCATCTTGGGAGCTTATCATTGACCGAGTGAAAACAGTAAAAAAACAGTATCAGCCCTTTGGCAAAAACCCAAAATAGAAGGCCTATCCAATACAAACAAGAGGGGTGTGACCTGTGGGAGTCTGAGTTAAACATTTCCCATAAAATTGATCTAGTATAATGAACCTCTGTGGACACTTTTATTTATTCATACAAAGGTGTCCTGCTGGGACTTCACTAAAATCTGAAGTATGTGACAAACAACTAATTGGTGTCAAGTTGGAAGCAACTCATAGCTGACCCTCCAACAGGTTTTTCTTTTTCTTTTATTTTATTATTTTGTGTGCTTGTGTACCGTCAAATCAGATCTGACTGGTATAGGAGGAGATTGTTCCTCCTTTTCCAGCAGAGCATCTAGTGGATTTGAACCGTGCACTTCTGGGACTGCAGTACATCTTCTTGCCACTAGACCACAAGAGCTCGCCAGTCAACAGGTTTTTCAAAGGCTACAAACTGCATGGGAGGAGACTGTCCATCTTTCTCAAAAGAACATTGGGTGGTATTGAACCAAGAGTCTTTAGGTTGATAGTGCATCTCCTTACCACTAGGCCACCAGAGAGAAGCCCACAAAACAACTCAAGCTTGCTTATGGTGAACTTGTAAACAAAAAAAATTATAAAATACCTGAGAGTATTTATCACTATAAGGCATAGTAAACACAAAACCCAATCAGGAGCACTAAATACAGAACCCCCAAGCTTTATATATAGCTTTTTAAAGAGAACATAAAGGAAATTCAGCTAAAATGTTTAAAGAAGAAACACAAAACATCCCAGAATTTTGAGGTTGTTAACAATTACAGCTTGCTCGGCTCCACAATCAACACTCTTGGCACCAGCAGTCAGGAAATCTAAAGACAAACTGCACTGAGAAAATCTGCTGACAGGGAGTTTTCCAGAATACTGAGAAGCAACAACATCGGTCTAGAGACTAAGGTGCTCCTGAGCCAGGCCATGTCTTTGCAATTGCTTGCTATGCCTCAGAGAGCTGGACAATTACTAAGGATGACAGAAGAAAAATCAATGCCTTTGAGTTGTGCTGGGGAAGAGTCTTCAACATATCATGGACCGTCAAGAAAACAAATAGGTCTGTCTTGGAGACGGTGAAACAAGTTTCTCCTTGGAGACTTGGATTTTGAAGTTCCATCTCACATATTGTGGGCATGTGGCCAGGAGGGACTAGTCTTTGGAGAAGGACATTATGCTTGGAAGGGTGGAGGGATAGCACAGAAGAGGAAGATCCCAAAGGAGATGGATTGATGACGTAACCGGGGCAATGGGAGTGGGTGTGTCAGAGTAAGTGAGACAGGCTCAGGACAGGGCAGGCTTCAGAGCTGTTGTACATTATATGGAAACAAAAATAAAAGAGTATGTATTTTGAATGAGAATGTAAAACCAAAAATGGAAAGCAGAGTGACTGAACATAAAAATGCAAAGTGTTGATTAAAGAACAGCTTAGGCAAGCTCTGGTGGCCTAGTGGCAAGAAGCAGCACTACAATCCCAGAGGTGAGCGGTTTATCAAATCCACCAGATGCTCTGCTGGAGAAGGAGAGACAATTTCGTCCTGTACCAGTCAGATTCAATTTGACGATACAAACACACAAAAGTAATAAAAAATTTTTTTTAAGTTTTTAAAAAGAGCAGCTTAAACACAGTCAAGGAGAGAGAGCCAGTGGATAATAAGGCTTAAAGGCAATGGGAACTTCTCACACTCAGACTCTGGTTTCCAAATGCCATGCAGACGCATCCAGGTCTAGTACAGAAAACGTACAAGATGGGCCTGGAATATAGGAGTTAGTGGTTCAAATCCACCAACTGCTCTGCAGAAGCAAGAGAGGCAATCTCCTCTTGAGTGGAAAACATGCTGGAGGGTCAGTTATGAGTTGGTTCTAACTTGATGGTACACATCAGCATTAGAAAGGGAAATTAAAAAAAATAAATTAAAAAAAAAAAGGGAAATTCAAAACCCTCAAACTGAGTGCTGTTGAGCTGGACCTGTCCTATAGTTGAGCCTCCAGGAGGTTTTTCTCACAGGGGAGGAGACTGTCTAGTTATCCTGAGGAGGAGCCGCTGGTAGACCTGAGACTCCAGAGAAGTGAAGCCTTTGGATTATCAGTATGACTCGCTACAGGCTAAACTACCAGGACTCCTTTCACAAAGCAAGGAAGCTTCACAAACAACTGGGATTATGTGCACAGGACACAGACATGAAGGGACCCCCCCCCCCAGACAAATAATGACAAATAATCTGAACACTGAAAGTATGATGACTGTCTATGAATAAAACACCACATCAAATACATTAAAAATCCATTCACTCAAAACACTATACAAAAAATTTTATTAGATTGCTTTGGGGTTTGCAAGGATGCCAATGAAATACTCTGAAAGCTAATAAGCTTATTCTGCTCATCCTGTTTGCATTACAGTCAGAGCAAAGCTCTGTCCTAGAACTTTCAGCATTGGTGTGTTTATTTTTTTAAATGACATACAGCATTAAGTATTTCTTTATATTAAACATATTTTTATATTAAAAATCATTCTTTATTCAGAAGATAAGAAAATTATAAATGTATTTCAAATGAGGAAATGAAGATTGGTTGAATTAAAAGAAATTGTTATATAGCTGATTATATTTTCTCAAATCACATTCTGTATGAAACATATGCTCCTTAGGTGTTTAGAGTAAGATTTTAAACAGATCAGTAATTTTATAATATAGAGAGCTCTGGTGACATAGTGTGTGTGGGGGTGCAGTGCTGCTGACCCAAGGGGCTTGGCCTCTCTGATGGTTTGTGTCCCTCAGAGGCTGCATGGGGGAGAGACGGGCAACCTCCTGTCTTGTGATTTACAGACTCAAAAAAACTGGCCAGTTACAAACAAGTCAATTCTGACTTGGCCACAATGCATTTGAGGTTTTTTTTTCATTATTAGAATTCTTTAATGTTAAGCATTTTTTAAAAAGGAAAAGAAAATAACACCCAAACAAGAAACAAACGAAAAAAGTAAAAAACAAAGGTAAATATCCCATTGAAAGAAGCAATGTTGTTGCTATGTTATGAGCTGCTGAGTCTAAACTGACTCATAGCTGACCCTCCAGCGGGTTTTCAAAGGCAGTAAATCACACAGGAGGAGACTGACCATTTTTTTCCCGTGGAGAAACTGGCAGATTTGAACCACATGCTTTTGGGTTGCCAGTGCAACTTCTTACCACTAAGCCACCAGAGTTCCTTATGAGAGAAGCAACAGTGAGAGAAATTAATTTCAGACAAAAAGGGATCCACTGGCAGCCAGCAAACCAGAGGAGCCTGTCATGGACCTCACAAGATAGTTAAGAAAGCTCAATGTGTGGTCAAGACTTAAAACTGGGGAATTTCTGGTCTCTCTGGAAAAATGAGATGACCTGGCCTTCATGAGCTCACAGGACCATGGAAACCATGTGCTGGAGTTGAGCAGCAGTTAGAAGACATCTTCAGACCGCCCACAGTCCTGTAACTTGTCAAAGCTTGGTTGTCTAAGCCACTGAGACCTCATCTAAGTCTGGGGTCCCTGATGTCTGAGATGAACCTGTCATCCAACCACTCAGAGCTTTCTGCCTCTGTCCTAGTGTAACATTCCTCCCTTACCTGCCATCGGGTCTGCACCCGGAGACAGCACGAAGATCAATGGTGCACAACAACTGGAATCGTTGTAGGAACCCTGGAGATCAAACGTTGGAGGCTCGATGTACATCTTCCCCATGTGCTCCGAGATGAAGTTCTGAACCGCTGGGACAATCTTGTCTGGCCGCAGACACCGGAGGATGGCCAGCCTCTCCAGTCCTTCCAGAAACTTCCACTGGCCAGGAAAGGGCCGCTCGTGGGGCCAGGCCGAGTCATAGATTGGCTTCCAATGGTTAGTATTATTTTGGAAATCTTCCATCAGGTCTTTCAGGCCGGGTAGCGTGGAGGCACGCACGATTTCGGACCAGGCCTTCTCCGACAGCCACTCGGGGTCCGGGTTGGGGTAGGGGTTGTCCAGGGCCACACCCCCGGTGAGGAGGAAGTGCCAGACATCCTCGTCAATCTGCTGTTTCTCCTTCAGGATGCCCACGGTCAGGAGCAGGGAGAACAGCAGTTTGTCCTTCTCGAACAGGGAGCGGCAGATGTTGCTGTAGACACTGAGGGTGAAGTGCTCGATGATGGAGTCGATGCGCGTGTCCAGGTCCTCGCTCTTCCTGCTTGATGCCAGCGACTGCACGTACAGGTTGATGAACCAGGCCAGCGAGTACTGGTACATGGGCTCGATGTGGGCCAGGTCCGAGATGCAAAAGAAGATAGTGGCTGAGTGCACGGCCACCGGCTTGTAGCCCATCCGGGTCTCATCGATCTGCATCTCTGTCACCGAAGCGATCTCTTGCTTTTTGGAGATTTCTTCGGACAGCACCTTGGAGGAAGACAAGATTTGGATGGCCGTCTCGTCCTCCAGGATGTTGCCCTTGGACAGGGAGAGGACCTCCAAGATCTTATCTTCGATCTCCTTGAGCTGCTGCTTGTTCTGGGCGCTTTCCACGATCAGCTTGTTCTTCTGGTCCTCCAGCTCGGGCTTCTCCTTGGCAGCCACGATGGCGAGGAGCTGGTCCTGGAGGCCCAACGGGGTGATCATGAAGTTCAGGAGACAGACTTTGACGGCCACCTCAGGGAGGTAGTGCGGGTTCCTCAAGCGGGTCGTGATGTAGAACTTAAAGTCCCTGGAGTATTCAATGATGTTCTCACCCAGCCTCATGTACTCAACCCCTTGTTGCTTGAACGTGGACTTGAGCAAGATGGGTTCGATCGAGGCATCGAGCTCTTCCCCAACATTCTCCAGCAAGACAGGAGTGCCAAACTGCAGGGCGTTCTCCAACGTCCTCACGTAGGTGGGGTCCGAGAACTTGATGACGGCTAGCTTATTGGCCTTCTCCATGTTCTTGATCCATTTATTGGCCTGCCCCTGAGGGTCGATCATTAAGGCCCAGCGCCGGGAATTGGACACGATGATGCCGTTGTCGATGGAGAAGGAGTCGATGGGGAGGCCCGCAATCTGCCAGGCACGGATCTTGACGGGGTCCCCGAGCGTGTTGCTGAGACTGAAGTCACTGGAGCCAGGAATGGCCTTCTCTTTACAACACTCCAGCCACTGCTTCTGGCACTCTGTCCGATAGTCCACGGTGAAGGCGCCCAGGTAAGCCACGGTGGCCGAGGACACCAACACATCTCCCGTCAGGTTAACATAGCGGATCCCCAACTGCCGGGCCGCTTCTGTCCACCTGTCCTTCTCACCCCCGAGGCCACTGATGAGCTTCTCTGCCCGGATCAGCTTCTGGGAGCAGAGCTCAATGTTCTCCTCCAGCGTGTTCTTCTTGGTGTTCATCTCCTGGAAGCTGTCATTCAGGGCCTGCAGGCGGTCCTCCACCAGCTTCAGCTCTGCCCGCTTCAGGTTCAGCTTCTGCATCTGCACGTCCAGCTTCTCCTCGGCCTCCTTCAGCCGCTCCCGCTTCGGAGCCACTACCTTGGCCACCCGGTCGTACACCTCCATGGCCCTCACCCACTTGCACAGCCCTTCACAGGCCGATGACACGTTTTTGATGACCGCTGGCTGGAAGTCGGGGTGATCGATGAACCGTTCCCGGATCCTCTTCATGATGGCTGGGGGGATGTTGTCTTTATCGTAGGTTTTCAGGCTTTCTAGAAACTTCAGATCTCCGAGTAGCTTCCTTGACGGCCCCCAGTAATCTTCAATCATCTTCCCTGTTGGGTACAAGAAGCAAGGAACAGGTGGCATTATTAAGACCTTCTGAATGAGATTTAAAACTCTTATAGGGGTTACTCCTTTTATCTAGGGGGAAAACCCCCCAAAATCAACCACCAACTCTTTGCCATGGCCTGGGAGGTCCAGCCAACCTCACTGACTTTATCCTTTCCTCTCTCCAGACTTACCACAAAGCACCTTCTTCTCACTCTTCCGTGATCTGATCCTAAGGGTTTTTCTACCCTGAGGCTTCTCCTCTGCTATAAATGGTTTCTGGTTGACTCCTGGCCATATTTCAGTTCTCATTTTTAAGTAACCTCCATAGAGAGGCTTTCCCTCTATGTCATTTCCTAAGGGTGCTCCTCCACCTCCTCTCTCTCTCAGCATCATCTCTTAGCTGCTAGGAGGCAGCCTTTGCAAAAGAATCCTTTACGGAAACAGCTCAAGTATAATATGTCATTGTTGTTATGTGCCGTCAAGTCACTTACAACTCATAGTGACCCTATGGACAACAGCCCTAAACTCTGCCCTGTCCTGTGCCAATCTTACTGTCTTTGACACACCTACCCTCATTGCCCAGTCACTGAATCAATCCATCTCATCCGGGGTCTTCCTCTCCTGCGCTGTCCCTCCATCCTCCCAAGCATGACATCCCTCTCCAAAGACTGGTCCCTCCTTGCAACATGTCCAGAGTACATCGGATAAAGCTTCAGAATTGTTGCCTCCAAGAACCAGCCTGATCTCTCTCTAGGATGAACCTGTTTGTTCTCTTAGCAGTCCATTCAGTACTGTTCTCCAACACCACAGTTCAAAGGCATCAATTCTCCTCCTATCATCCTTAGTCACTGCCCAGATTTCTGATACATAGCAAGTAATTGCAAAGACTACGGCCTGTATCAGACACACTGTTGTTTACAGACTGACATCCTTGCTCTTCTATACTTTGTAGAGGTCTCTGACAGCAGACATTCACAGTGCAATTTGTCTTTTAATTTCCTGGCTGCTGATACCAAGAATGTTGACTGCAGAGCCAAGCAAACTGAAGCTGTTAACAATCTCAGTCTCTTCACCACTATCCTAATGCTGTCAATCGGTCCAGTGGTAAGAATCTTTTTCTTCCTGATGTTGAGCTTCAATCAATATTTTAGGCTGCAGTCCTTGACCTTCTGCAGCAAGTGCTTCAGGTCCTCTTCAGTTTCAGCAAGCAGGGTTGTGTCATCTGCATAATGCAGGTTGTGGATGAGTCTTCCTCCATTTCTTATGCCACATTCCTCCTCTTAGTGCCCAGCTTCCAGGATAATAAGTTAGGATGAACAAAGACGAGCTAGCCAGCACCTCTTCCCCCTGCCTGGTCCTGGAATCTCTCAGTAGCTTAAAGAATACAATACTTCATGTATCCTTTCTTTCCATGGAGCACCATTGGCAACTCCTATTTCTGTTTTGCTGTCTATCTCATCCTCAAAGCTGTAAGCTCCGGCTTGTTTACTAGAATCAGATTCAGCATCTGACCATCAGTAAACCAAGAATTATTTGTTGAACGAACAATGATGGGTCTCATTCAGGTGGAGAGGAAACGGGAAGCAAAGCCTGCGGCACAGACAAATGACGTTCTTTCAAATCCTGGAGGCTAGTGGACGGAGTGTTAAGCATTCTCCTGTGCTGGACAGTGAAGTGAGTGAGATGCTGGCCTTCAGGGGAGGAGCCAGGGTTGGGGAGCAACCGGGGTTCTTTTGCTGGGCAGAAGACTGTCTCTCTGCCTCTAATTCTTTCGCACTTTTACTGTCTTGGTCTCTCAGGTTCTCCCTCCGCATCTCTCTCCCTACACACGTTTCTTTCTCTTGCGTCTCTGACTCTTACTAGCTCTGTGAGACTCTGTCTCTCTCTGTCTCTGTCTCGTTTTCCTTGTCTTTGCCTTTCTCCTCCTGGTCTCACTCATACTTGGTTGGATATGTGGAGTGGGGCATGTGTGTGGTATGTGTACATATGTGTGTGGTGGCAGGGTATGTGGAGTGTGTGTGTGTGTGTGTGGTGAGGTATGAGGACTGTAGTGTGAGTGTGTATATGTGGGTACATTTTTGCATATATGCACATGTTGTGGTGAGGTATGTGGGGTGTGTATGTATGTATGTGTGTGTGAGGTGGGAGGTATGAGGAGTGTGGTATATGTGTGTTTACATGTGTGTACGTGAGTGCATGTATGCATCTATGCATATGTGGCAGTGAGGGACGTGGGGTGGTGTGTGTGTGTGTTATGTGTGTATGATGGATGTGGGTGTGTTGAGGGTGCGGTAGGTGGACTGTGGGGTGTGTGTATATGTGTGGTGGTAGGGTAAGTGTATATGTGTGTATGTATGTATGCATGTGTGGTGGTATGGTATGTGGGGTGTGTGTGGGCTATGTGTTCAGGTGTCTCTGTCGTGTCTCGTTCTCTCCCTGAGTCACTGGCCCTCCTATTTCCCTGTCTCCCCGTCTCTCCCACATGCCCTGCCTGCTTTCTATGCACCTGCTTCACATGACCTTCATTTTCAGGATGATTTGCAAACAGGAGCTTTCACTCAGCTCAGCTCCACCCACAGATACTGTAACTCCCAAAATGAAGGCGAGGAGAGAGGCTGGAGAAGAAACACAAGCGAGGCCCCCAAGACCCTAAGCACATAGTGGCACCTTTCCCGATGCCTCTCAAACTTCGCAGTGCTGTCCTCGGCCGTCGCCTGGCAGGGTCCCCTTCCCGTCAAGGCACAGTGATCCAGAGCCCCTGTGTCAGGCTGCTGCTGGTGGGGCTTACCTGAACCACCAGGGTCTGGCTTCCTCTCTGGCCGCAGCCCCTTCATGACACAAATGCTTTCCATGACCAGCTTGACAGGGCCCGGGGGGTTCTGCATGGCCTTCACCAGGGTGATGTGTGCAGGATTCAGGGTGTCCAGTGCTGCGAGTGCAGCCTCTAGTGCGGGCATTGCCTCGGCCAGGTCCCCCTCACATTCAGTCTGCAGGCAGCACAGAGATGCAGGGTGAGCACAAACACAGAGATGACCTCCGAGGGACTGGACCTGAGATTGCTACCTCCACCTCCCGCAGCAAGAGGAAGGGTGCCAAGAGTGGTGTTAGTGTTAGGGGCTTCACATTTGCATGTCCTGGACAGCTGAGCCGTCACAATTTGTCTTAAAACAAACCTCAAAGAGATTTGCTCACACAGTGAGCAACTTCTAACCTACCGATCAGGGACAGAATGAAGGATAAAGGGCGAGGCTGCAGCGTTTAGTGAAAAACAGACTGAGGGTCCAGTAGGGCCAAATGTAGGGGAGAGTTAGGCATAAGAAGTGGAGAAGGTCAAGTTAAGGCCAGGCCTGGGAATTTATTTTGGCTCAAGAGATGAGGTAGACAGCAAACAGGGATAGAGGGAGACTTGGGGACAGGGTAGAGCTCAAGGTAAGGATGTTGAGTGTCCTGTAAATGATTCTGATGCATGGAAACGGAATAGGATAGCTGTTGTTGTATACCATCAAGTCAGAACTGACCCATAGCTGACCCTCTGGTGGTCAGAGGCAGTTAATCACACGGGAGGAGACTGCCCATCCTCTCCCACAGAGCAGCTGGTGGACTAAAATTCCATGCCTTCGGAACTGCAGTGCAGCTTCTTGCCACTAGGGCCCCCAGAGCTCCCTGCACGGGACCAAGTAGACCGATACTAGAAGCAGGCTGTCATACTGCCTTCCTATGAAGTAGCTGGTGGGTACAAGCCGATACCTTGCAGTTAGCAAACAAGCTCTTAAACACTGCACCACCAGGTATCATTTCAAAGTGGAGTAAGGATGGAGAATGAGGAGAATAGAGCTGGATATAGAATCAGAGCAGGGTAATCAGAGCAAAGGGATGATGTCTATTATGTCTCTGGTGCCCAAATGGGTAAGGAACTGCACTACCAACCCCAAAAGCAGGCAGTTTGGATCCACCAGGCACTCCTCAAGAGAAAAATGGGCAATCTCCTCTCATGTGATTTGCAGCTTCTGGAAAAACCACTGGAGGGTCAGCTATGCATCAGTTCTGACTCCACAGCAACGAGTTAGAGTTAATTCAACAATGAGTTAGAATATCCGTAAGACATGAAACAGAATGAAGCAGCAACAGCGAGGTACTCATGCCTTAGAATGGTCACCCATGAAAGATTAAAAGACCCAGGAATAATAAGGCACAGAGGGAAGGAAGGATTAATGAAATGGGCACCATAGGGAGGAAGCAGGAAGAGTGCAGTTGTCTTGTGGGCATTGTGATTAACACCAGAAAACAAAATGTGTACAAATGTTTGAATGAAGAACGAATTTACCCCGCCACCTTACATGGGGAAGTCTAGCATGGGGTCACTCTGAGTTGAGACATGGGGGAAGACTCAGTTACTGACTGAAAGGTTGGCAGTTCTAACCCACCAGCGGTTCCATGAGAAAAGGTAAGTAAGACAGGCTGCTTCCAGCTTTGGCAACTATGAGGCTGTTCTACTCCGGGTGCTGAGTGTGACCCAACGCCACAGTGGTAAGTCTGGTGAACATCACGGACGTTGTAGCTTATGCTTTGTGATTTTCAAATATATTTATAGCTCTATTTGGTTCTATAATAAAACAAAACCTGTTCCTCTCTGACCCCCTAAATGAGCCATGCTAGGTGGCCCCTAGGATATCCATCAGAGTAAAGTGCCAGACACGAGGAAAAACTCCTCAAACGGGTCCTCCCTGTTTCTCAAGTCAGCTCTAGAAATTGTGGTGGAAGAAGAGACCAGAGACATTGGCTTAGCCAGAGCGTGGATGCTCAGAAAAGGGCAATGGTCCTGAGGGCCCATGGTGCGGTGTCATCAATAGTCCCTCCCATCCCGTCTTTACAACCTGCCTGGCGACCAGTGGCCCAGCGAGCTTCACACCTCCCAGAGGCTGCTTCCTGGGGAGGGGGCAGGGCGGGATGGTACCTTGGTCTTGGGACAAACTTGGCTGTTGAGTGACTCAAAAATATTGCATAGTGCCACTCTTGTAAAACAGGACTGACAACAGGGTTGAGGGAAGACAGAGAAGGAGGGGAGGAATGATGTATATTGCATTGAAACAGATGAGGGAGAGAACTGTTTAAAAGGGATATTTGATTGGGTATTATTGTCATGACGGGAGTCCAGAATGAGGGCTGCACAGAGGAGTGGACTTGGGGGAAGGGACTGTATAACAATGAAAGAGTTTTTCTCTACTTTTCAAGGAGAAGAGTGAATTGAGGGGATGGGGGTGGGCAGGGAGAAAAGTGCAACAATGAATGACCGGAAAGCCTAAGTCTCTGTAACCTTTCATTAAAATTAATAATAAAAAAAGTTGTGACATTATTCTACAGCCGTGACTGGAAGCATGCAATACATCAGAAGCATCGAAGTGCATCTAGAACATTTTTCCTGGTCAGGCACCCACACCCACAGATTTTGATTTTTTTTTTTTTTTTAAATCTCTGAAGGTGATTCTGGCATATAACTGGTTAACTCTACTGGGGATATTCTGGTGGCCAAATCTGTAGGGAGCTGGTGCCTCTTTGGAAGACTGCATCCACCAGTAGTAGCTCCATGGAAGAAAGATGGGCAATCTCCTCTGTGCAACTTACAGACTCCTGGAATCCCAGGATACACCTATACAACGTCCCTCCCATGATGTGGGATGGTGCGGCAGCATCCAACCTCACCCTCTGCACCGAAACCCAACGTGGCAGTTTATTGTGGGAGTGGTGAGGCGGGCAGTCCTGGGTCATCTCGTCAAACCTTCTCTCCACCCTCCTCTCTCACTCCTCCTCCAACAGTGCAGAATGGAATACTCAGTGCGGCCTCCTTGTTTCCTCCTGTCCTCCCCATGGTGAGAGACTGGCCTTTACCAAACAGGCAAGTCCTTTGGGCACAGGGCACAGAACACCTGACAGTAGCCTACATGTACTGTTACATCCTGGCTGTGGCTGAGCACATGCTACAAACTTTATATGCTTTTCTCTTCTTGTCTTGCTGTCAAGTTCACCGTGACTCAGAGTCACCCAATGAACAAGAGATCAGAACACCGCCCTGTCCTGCCTCCTTCCTCCTCCTCATCTCCACCAGGCTCAGGCCCACTGTGCTCGTCACTGTATCATCCTGTGGATTCCCCGGCATACTGACAGCCGGGCCACAGCTGAGATCAGAGTCCAGACAGGACTGAGCACCCTCTGCAAACAGAGAATTCCGCCCAGCCTCCCACCCGAGGGGACGCCGTGTCTGAGCTTTGGTCTTAGTTTAAAGATTAAGTTTACCCATTGTTATGTTGGCAACACTTGAGTAAAAGGGAAAATATAGTCTCTGGAGATTGAACCTTTTTGAGGATGATTGGCTGAAACGAAATAAAAACCAAAGGGAGACTAAGAAAGGGGCCTGTTCACAGTGCCATGCTGGGAGAGGACTCTGCCTCAGCCTTCCCTCTTTCTCTGAGCTCATTTCCTCGTGTCCCCGCTTTCTTTTTCCATCCGGTTTGCAACATCATCCCATCTTGTTGAAGGTCTTCCTCTTTTTAGCTGACCATACACCTTTCCCAGCATGATGTCTTTTCCCAAAGACATCAGAAGATTGGCTGCCAACCCAAAGGCACGCAGTGTGGATCCACCAGCTATAGTCTGTGGAAGAAGGATAGGCAATCTCCTCCCAGGAGACTTACAGCCTCTGAAACCCAGCTGGAAGGTTAGGGAAGGCCAGTTTCCACTTGATGGCAATGAGTGAGTAGGAGCTGGGGGCCCCTTCTGACATGTCCAAAGCGTGTGAGACGATGTTTCACCCTCAGTGCCTCTAAAGTGTAATCTGGTTGCACTTTCTTCAGGACGAATCTTTGGCCTTTCATGGTATATTCAATATTCTTTGTCAATACTCTAAATCAAAGCCGTTTATTCTTCTTTGTTTATGAATAGTTCAACTTCCAAATGCATAGGAAACAACTGAAAGACCTTCAGTCAGGCACACCTTCATCTTTAAATTGATGTCATTTCTCCTGCTGTTGTTAGGTACCATCGACGTGGGACCGACTCAGAGCTGACCCTCCAGCGGGTTTTCAGAGGCAGTATGAGTGGAGTTCCTCATCTTTCCTAAGGCTTGCCAATACTTACAAAAGCATGAAAGTACACAAATTCACGTACCACTGGGGACCCAAGGAGGCTGCTCAGATCATAGAAGTAGGTTGGTGGGTCTTTAGTAAAATGGAGCATACACAGAGGGCAGTATCTAATCAAAACCACCAGTAGTGCAAATCAAGAATTTGATGGCAAGCTCAAGGCTGCCAGAGTTTTGATTTTGTGCTTGAGAGTGGGGTGGAGCTCCCCGATTAAAACAAGCTTGGAAGGAGGAGTGGAATCCACTTCCATAATAGCTTGCCTCTGGAAACCCTATGAACCTGGAGAGAGGATGAGAGACACCCAAGCGTTGAGGACTCTCCTTCATAGGGTCGCTATGAGTCGCCTGAGACTTGACGGCACTTAACAACACAACAACAACACTAAGGAAAGCTCTGGTGGCCTAGTGGCAAGAAGCTGTGCTGTAATTCCAAAGGAACACGGTTCGAGGTCTCCAGCAGCTCAGCAGGAGAAAGATGGGAAATCTCCCGTGCGATTAATTGCCTCTGAAAACCCACCGGAGGGCCAGCTATGGGTCAGTTCTGACTCAACGGTACACAACACCAACACCAAGGAAGAGTACCATATTCATATTTTTCTACTTGAATGCTTCGCTGGTGTGTGCCATATTTTACAAGAGCTCCCTAGCTGCCACTTGCAACTTTTCAGAATGAAGGTCAAATGCAAGGGTTGTAGGAATATAGAGCTTTGGGAATGAATCCTGACCCAGTCACTTAGTAGCTGGGTGAACTTGGGCAAGTTATTTAAGTTCTTGAGCTCTGGTGGTCTAATGTCAAGAAGCTGAGCTGCAATCCCAAAGGCATGTGGTTCAAGGCCACCAGCTGCTCCTCAGGAGAGGATGGCCAATCTCCTCTGGTGTGATTAACAGCCTCTGAAAACCCGCCGGCGGGTCAGTTATGGGTCAGTTCTCAATCTGTGGTACAACAACAACAACCTATAAACTAAAAATTATACCACTTGTCTTGTGGTACCAATTGCTAGTAGGGTAATAAAAAGGAGTGTAAATTAAGCGGAATAGAGTATTTCTCCCTGAGGGAAGAAGGGCAATCTTTTTTCTTTGATCTCAATTATCTACTGCCTAGAAAAGCACCCACCCACAGCAGCTGCTCCTCAGTATTTTGTACATGACAGAATACATGAGACTTGGTGCTGACTAGAAGCTGTTACTGTCACAAATCTCCTGCTAGGGAGTGCTGGTGGCCTATTGGCAAGAGGCTGTGCTGCAATCCCAGTGCCCGTTCAAGGGGTAATCTCCTCCTGTGCCATTCAGATCCAACTCAAAGTATACAACAAGAAAAATGAACAAACCAACCAACTGGCTTGCTAGATTATTACTGGTCTATTAGGGATTTGATTTGCCCAGCCACCAGGACTGTGGACAAACAACTGTCTGACAGGCAAGGTATCCACCTATCCAAGGTCTCTGAGATCAGGGATTGGAGGAGAGGCCAGGCCTCAGGTCTGACTGGAGAAAAGTCAGTCTTGAAGGCCTGTCCCCTGCAGGAAAATACTCCATGATGCATGGAACACAGAAATCACACACAGGCTACCTCTTTAAGACCTTAGTTTGAAGAACAGTTTACTACCTGCAAACCAAGAACATATTTTTTTTTCCTAGCAGCTAAGTCAAGATATAAGGATAAGAACCTTAATTAAGCATCATGAGTCTTGGATTCTAACCCCATCAAGCAGGGGGTGACCCCATTGTTATTGTTAAATGGGACTGAATCAACACTGACTCACTGTGACCTCATGTACAACAGACCAGAATGTGCCTAATCCTACACCATCATCACAGGCTCTCCACTTTGCCCAAGCTCACTGCTGCAGTCGACCTGCCTGGCCATTTGCTTGAGGGTCTTCCTCTCCTTCAGTGACCCTCTGCTTTTCCAAGCATGTCGAGCAGTCCTCCAAGGAATCAAAGCTATGAAGAGCTGGCCATTCCTGAACGCATGCTCAAAGGATGTGAGATGAACTCTCACTTCTCCTCCTCAAAGGATTCCCTGGGCTGCATGCTTCTGAGAAATCATTTCCCCACCAACCTCTCAGATATTCCTAAACCTTGAAGAAGTTGCAAGCTTCATATGGAATATGTGTACTCAAAAGCACTTAGAAGAATATACCTCACATCTATGTTTTTCTTCTACTCTCTGAACATTAAGGTCTGCTCAAGACTATATCTTCTTTGAGTTTTAAAAAAATTACTTTTAAGTCCTTTAGTTTCAATATCTAGTCATCTGAAACTTCTTTCTTTCTTTCTTTTTTTTTTGTGTGTGTGTGTGTGTGTGAGTGTACCGTCAAATCAGATCTGACTGGTATATGAGGAAATTGTCCCTCCTTCCCCGGCAGAGCATCTGGTGGATTCGAACCGTGCGCCTCTGGGATTGTAGTTGCAGGTCCTTGCCACCAGGCCACCAGAGCTCCCCTATCTGAAACACATTTCTTCTACATCTCCATCCTCCCAGGTATATTTGAGCAAAATCCTGGTGGCAGTGAAGAGACAGTCACGTGGATATCTGGAAGAAGAGCATTCTGAGCCGAATAAATGACCAGTGCAAAGGTCCTGGGGTTGCTCAGAGGTTATTTGAAGAATAGGCAGGAATAGGAAAGAGGTCAGTGTGGGGAGTTGCGGGTTGAAGAATCAAGAGACAAGGTCAGTTCACCGTGGGGCTTGAGTAAAATGGAAAATACTGGAAAACAGTAATGCTTCCTGGATAGAGCCAGGTGTCAGAATGACTTCCTTCATCACTTACTAGCTATCTGGCATTGAAAAAGCCACCTACACTTAAGAGCCTCACTCTTGCTATCCGTGAGATGGGCATGACCATAGACATCATCTGGGGCTGCATTAGGTTCTAGTGAGATAACGGACTAGCCCAGAAAATGCTAGATCCTTCTCTTTCTCCTCAGCTCTTCATACCTTGATTGCTTGAGAAATGGCGGCCGCCTTGTTGGCTTCTTCTTCATCTGCCTGCACCAGAAGTTTCTTGGCATCAGCTTCTTTGGTCTCCATTTCAATCTTCACCATCATGCTGGCAGTCTCCTCGGAGGTCTGAATGAGTTGGGGCTGTAGGGCAGTCAGCTCCACTTGCATCACGGCCACCTGGTGAGGACAGAGGGGCAAGAGGAGATCTGAGTCAGTGCGTTAAAAAAAGTGGGACCCAGCAAACAACAGATGCTGGTGAGGTTGTGGAGAAACTGGAACCTTTATTCACTGTAGGTGGGAGTGTAAAATGGTGCAATCACTGTGGAAAGTAGTATGGCACTTTCTCAAAAAGTTGCAAATAGAAATACTACTTAACCCAGCAATTCCACTACTGGGAATATACCCTAAAGAAACCAGAACTGCCACCCAAACAGAAATATGCACACCCATGTTTATTGTGGCTTTGTTCACAATAGCAAAGAGTTGGAAACAACCCAAGTGCCCATCAACAAATGAATGGATAGAGAAGCTGTGGTATATTCACACAATGGAATACTATGCTGCATTGAAAAACAAGGAACTCATGAAATAATATACAAAATGGGTGATCCTGGAGGACATTATGTTGAGTGAAATATCTCAGTCACAAAAAGGATAGTGCCACTGTTGTAAAGAGGGACTGACATTGGGGTTGGGGGAAAACTAAGAAAAGAGGGCATAGATAATGTATACTGCATTAAAACAGATGAGGGAGAAAACTGTTTAGGAGGAATTATTAAGCATTATTGTTATGACAAGAGTCCAGAATGGAAGCTGCATAGTGGAGTGGACTGCGGGAAGTGGGTGGGGGGTGGAGAGTGTATAACAATGAAATAATTTTTCTTTTACTTTTCAAAGAGAAAAGCAAGGGGGGAGGGGTGGGCAGGGAGGAAAGTGTGCAACAATGAAAGAATGGAAAGCCAAGGTCTCTGTAAACTTTCATTAAAATTAAAAAAAAAAAAGACTATTTGTGCTAACAGATTGGTGACGTTCCTGCTCTAGGTTTCCAGCCTCTGTTTGAACACCTCAAACAATGGTCCCCAGCACGCTCTGTCTGCTACTTTGTCACACCTGGTGGCTTGGGTGTTGTATGGACAACATGTGAAATAGGGCAGAGTCACTTAATGGTGAACAGATTTCAATAGGGTTTCCACTAAGACTAGGAATAAAGGCCTGATGAACTACCCTCTAAAAATTCATCAAGTGGAAACCTTACAGATCATGATTGCTGGAGAAAGGCACAAGGTTAGATGAAGCAGAGGCTTCTGTTCTGTTGTCCTTAAGGATGTGGAGTCGACTTGGAGTAGCTCCATCCATGATGATGGGGAGCTCTGTATCTAATAACGCCTGGATGGTCTCCATCCAGAAGCTACGCTGCAATCCATTCCACACGTGTGTGTGTGTGTGTGTGTGTGTGACTTTGTTTGGACAAAGGGTCTTCAGAGGTATAAGAAGCCCTGGTGGCAAAGCAATCGAGCAATAGCCGCTTACCAGCTGCTCTATGTGAGAAAGATCTGACAGTCTGCTCCTGGGCAACCCTGGAAACCTGAGGGGTCAGTCTGAATTCAGATGGAATCTGAACTGATGAAACTGGTTGGTGTGTGGACTTGAGGATGTCATTTGTTGACATGAGATCAGGATGGAGTATAATGGGTCTAGTTCAATCTGAGTGACATTGGGCACAGAGAGAGCATTAGACAAAATAAAGGAGGCAGGTACAGCTGCCCCCCAGGAAGGCCAAGGACTTCCCAGAGCTACCAGAAGCTAACAGAGAAGCATGGAACAGAACACCCAAAAGGAACCAACCTTCTCCTTTGGTTTGGACTTCAAGCCTCCTGATCTAAGAAGATACAACCTCTCAGGGTAGGGCCTTTTACAAACAAGTAAACTCCTTACAGGGAGCTCTGGTCGCCTAGTGGTAAGCAGTTGGGCTGCCAACTCAAAGACATGCAATTCAAAGAATTAAGAGACGAGGTCAGCTCACCGTGGGGCTTGTAGCCTTTGACAATGGGTGAAATGGAAGACACTGGAAAACAGTGATGCTTCCTGGATAGAGCACAGTGTCAGAAAGACGTCCTTCATCACTTACTAGCTATCCAGCATTGAAAAAGCCACCTTCACTTTGGAGCCTCACTTTTGTCAGCTGCTTCAAGGGTAAAAGCGGGCAATCTCCTCCCATGTGCATTTCCAGCCTCTGGACACCTGCTATAGGTCTCAGTTCTGGGTCAGTTCCAATTCAACAACATATAAAAAGAACAACAAACCCCTCATATTTTCTTTTTTATTTGTTTGTTTGTTTATATTTTGGGTTCTTTTTTTTTCTTTTTAAGAAATCGGTTTGCTTACAAAGTCCATACATACTGTGTTTCACACTATTCTTCATTCACATAGTGTTTCCTACAATCATTCTCATGTATAATGTTTTATAAGATTAATCACCACTGGCGCTGGAGTTTACACCCTTACTGTATTTTCCCACTAATCTCGTTTCTGCCTCAAAGGCAGGTGCACACAGCACTGGCTTTGGATGGAAGACGTTCCTCCACGTGCACCCACCATCCTCAGCAAATTGGTCTGAGAAACAGCATGACGCCTGGGTCTGGTTAGAAACACAGGCTCCGGAGTCTGTCTAGCAGGTTTGGTTACAGTTTTGATCTGGCCACTCTTGGGACTATTCACGAGGTTGCGTGAGCACGGGTGAGTTGTGACCACATCCTGGTTTCCCTATGAGTATCATGGAAATAAGTGCATTACTTTCCCTGTTTGCAAGGCTGGGAACATGGGAGGGTGTTCTGCATAGTAGCGCTCTGTCTTTCTTTTTCCCGGTCTAACTAGTCTCAGGTTTTTTGATGCCTCTCAACTCAATTTGCTCATCCTGGTCTAGACAGACAAGGGTCTTTGCCATCTCTCTAGAAGCCTCCTGCCCCGAGCTGGACCCTGGGCACAGAGTAATGGGGCCACCTCTTGTTCCCTTGCCCAATCTCCGTTGTAGTGATTTTATTTTATTTTATTATTTTTCTTGTGCATGTATCGTCAAATTGGATCTGACTGGTATAGGAGGAAATTATACCTCCTTCTCCAGCAGAGCATATGGTGGATTTGAACTGTGAACCTCTGGGATTGCAGTGCAGCTTCTTGCCACTAGGCCACCAGAACTCCCTCGTTGCAGTGTTTTTAAGTGAGTTTGCTGTTCACAGGGACATGCCACTCACCGTAAATCAACCTGTCACATCAGCTTTTTATTGGTGGCTGAACATTAAGCTCTTAATCTGACTCTCCCTTTAGATGATTTGCCAAGTAATCCAAGACCAAACTGATAAAGAATTGGTCATTCTGCTATGGCTGTGTTTATGTCAGTTCATTCAATCTAAATAGCAGCACTGTTATAGACTGAAATGCTACTATCACTCTCAAATTATATGCTGTGGACCCTAACTCCTGTGACGGCTGTATCCCTGTGAAGGGATTGGGTTTTCTTTGCTATGTTAATGATGCTGTTACAATGTAGGGTGTGTCTGAAAACAATCACTTTTTTTTCTCACAGTAATGGGGCTTATTGGGGAAGTTAACAGGATACAATTCAGAAATCACTTTTGATCTATAAAAAGCATAGTTTTAGCACATTAAACGGAACCATCTCTTTAAGCCATTTTACCACCTCATCTGCTCTGTCAAAGATATCCTGATGCATCCTACCAAGCAACTTCATAAAAAAATTCTATGTAAATTTAATTTTTTTTTCAAACTTTAACAGTTACATTTTTGTTGGGTTTTTTTTTTTGTGGATTAAACTGTCAATATGTTAACTATTTTCAATACTTAGGATTCTGAGTTTAGTAGACTTTGGGGGGAAAAGGCAGCTAAAATATATTCTGGGTATTTTATGCTGGTAGCCTTCTCCACTTTTGTAAGTTATGTGATCAAGGACATGTTATTTAACCTGCTAGAACTCACATTTTCATTCAATAAAATGAAAATAAAAAATAAAAGGGAGGGGGTAAAGCATAGCTCAGAGAAAGGCACAAGCGAGGAGAAGTTATCACTGTCTGATAACTGTATGTAATGGGGAAGCACAGCAGAAAAGAAACAAAGATGTCCCCCAGAGCCAACAGAGAAAAAGGGCCTCTTCCGGAGCTGGCATTCTGAATTCAGCCTCCCTCACAACACGAGAAAACAAATTTGTTTGTTAAAGTCATCTACTTGTGGTGTTTATGTTCTAGCAGCCCGAGGAAATCTAGCAGAGCTCTGTGGCCTAGTGGTAAGAAACTGTGCTGTAATCCCAAAGGGGTACAGTTTGAATCCACCAGCTGCTCTGTGGGAGAAGGATGAGCAATCTCTTCTCATGAGATTCACTGCCCCTAAAAATCCACTGAAGGGCCAGCTAGGAGTTGCTTTCACCTTGACAGTAACCAGGAACAACAATTAGTAAGAACATGAGCTCTGGTGGCCTTTTTACCTCCTCAAGACTTGTGCTGCCAACTCAAAGGCACGCAGTCTGAATCCACTAGCTGCTCTGTGGGAGAAAGATGGGAAAACTCCCTGTGTGTTATTTACTGCCTCTGAAAATCTGCTGGGGGCGGGGGGGTGGGGCGGTGAGGGTCCAATATGCGTCAGTTCCGAATTGATGGTACATAACAACAACATGCAGCAGACATCTCCCCAAACAACAAATAAAAAAGGGGGCTCTGGTGGCGTAGTCTCTAGGGCGTTCTGTTGCTAGCCCCAGAGACTAGCAGTTGTCTCTTCGGAGGTTCAAATCTACAAGAGGGGGGAGCTCTGGTGGCCTAGTGGCAAGGAGCTGCAACTACAATCCCAGAGGCACACGGTTCGAATCCACCAGATGCTCTGCCGGGGAAGGAGGGACAATCTCCTCCTGTACCAGTCAGATCCGATTTGACGGTACACTCACACAAAAGTTTAAAAAAATTTAAAAAAAATTTAAAAATTAAAAAAAAAATCCACAAGAGGCTCACCAAGAGACAGAGAAGCAATCTCTTCCAGTGCAATCTACACAGCCTCTTGAAAACTGGCTGGAGAGTCGCCAAAAACCTCAGCCCTCGAGATAGAGATCCAGTATTAGAATGCATTTTTTTTAATTAATGCAAAAAAATGAAAAAATCCTGATGAACAAAAGATCAAAAATCTTAAAGATCTGTACCAACTGGCCTGAGAACAGAGGGAGAGAAGTTACACAAATGCAAGAGCAGACCTTCTCTTTACTGCCGTTGTTGTTGTTGTTGTGTGTCATCGAGTCACCTGCATCTCATAGTGACCCTGTGTACAACAGCTCTGAAGCCTGCCCTGTCCTGGGCCAGTCTCGCTGACTCTGACGCACCTACAGCCCAGTTTGTACTGGCCCGGTCACTGTATCAATCCACCTCATCTGGGGTCTCTCTCTCCTGCGCTGTCCCTCCACCCTTCCGAGCATGACGTCCTTCTCCAAGGACCAAGCTGCTGTTGTTGGGTCTCATCAAGTCAACTATAACCCACAGTGACCTCATCAATAACGGATCCTGTGTCACCCTCACACTCTCTGTCGTGCTCAAGCCCACTAGGTTGTCTTTGTGCCAGTCACTCTTGAAGATCTTCTCTTTCTCTGACCTTCCACTTTGGTTGGTTCCTTATTTTATACCTAAAGCAGTTCCTAGCTTGCCTCCCAGCCAGAGACCAACCTGTCCCTCTTCTACTCCGCATGCGCTCGCTCACCTGTGAAGATGCAAACTCAAGCTTCTCCAGGCCCACCAGGTAGCGATTCTTCATCATATCAACCTCATGCCTCTTGCTGTTGAGGAGGGTCTTGAAGGTGAGGATCAGTTCCAGGTAGGAGGTGGGCGTTACATAGTTGTGTCTGGAGAGTGTGTTATAGAAATTCACCGACAGATCCCTCACGCTCTCTTGAAAATATATGCACATGGAGATGACCCTGCCGAGGACACAAAGGTGGTTATATAAGTCTTACGTCCTCCAGAGAGATCACAGTCAAGTTCAAGTTCAGTAGAGACAAGCGTGTAAGAAGGCACACACATAGTGATTATAGCCCATTACAGTCCAACAGTCTCTGCAGATCATCAGAGCCAAGACAGAGAGGGAAGGAGTACTCATATATTCATACAGGAAAGCTCTTTGATCATATAATTTCCATCCCTAATTTCTCTGGTGACTAATCAGCACTTCAGTTATAGTTATTAACTTCTGGAAAAACAGTGGAGCCTCTGAGCTTTTCAGAATAATGTTTTGAAGGGCATAAAAGAAAGGAAAACACATAGAATTTCCAATTCCAATGATATTATAATAGAGTTTCCTAAATATTTAGAAAGAAGCAAGACACAGAAATATATGTGCTTCTGCAGCATTAAGTCAGAGACTAAAAAGCTTTTTCTGTAAATGGCCAAAGAATAAATATTTGAGGATGTGTGGGCCACACATTCTAGGTCACAGCTACTCAACTTTGCCTTTGAAGTAAGAAAGAACCACAGGCAATATGCAAACTAATGGATTTGACCATGTCCCTGTAACTTTTACTCACAAAGCACGCTGCAAGGTAGGTTTGGCCTGCGGGCCACAGTTTGTTGACCTCTCCACATTAGCTCACAAGATTGGTAGTGGGTCTAATAATTACCACTGTTTTGAAGGAAACTGTATACAAAGGTATCAAAAATGACTAAATGAGTCACAAAAATAACCAGGATCCCTGCTGGTAGCAAAGTCACAGGGTCTGGTTAATGCTGCTGGGGTCTGCTGCATACATTTATCACTGAAGGAAATATAAAACACCATGAACAAAAGTGAATATAAACTTTTTCCCATTTTTATTCTGCCACCTTCTGAATTCTAGCTGCAACCTTGTGCACCCAGGTTAGGAAATCTCTCGACCTAGAGAATAAAATCAAAAGTCATCAAAAAATGCAACTGGAGGCCATCAACTTTCTGACCTCTATCCAGCATCTTATTTTGTCATTCAGTCATTTAATAAACTTTAATTCAGCTTGCTACATACTAGACAAGGGAGCTCTCTGGTGGTGTAGTGGTATGGAATTGCACTACCAGTCCAAAGGTATGTAGTTCGAGTCCACTAGCTGCTCCATGGGAGATGCATGGGCAATCTCCTCCCAGGAGATTTACTGTCCCTGAAAATCTGCTGGAGGGTCAGCTATGAGTCGATTCCAACTCTGTGGTTCAACAACAACAATGAACTAGACAAAAATGTTAGCAGACACAGGGAGCTCTGGGCGGTTGAGTGGTAAGGAATTGTGCTAAACGTACAAGGTTCGAATTCACAAGCTGCCCTATGAGAGTAAAGATAGGAAATCTCTTCCCATGAGATTTACTGTCTCTGGAAACCCATTAGAGGGTCAGCTTTGGGCTGGTTCAGACTCGATGGTACAACAACAGCAGCAGCATGCACTAGACAAAAATAAACAAAGCTCTGTATTGAAGGAAGTACAGGCAGGGTACTCCTTACGGACAAGGATGGTGAAACTTCCTCTCACATATTTTGGGCATACTGTCAGGAGGGGCAGGCTCTGGGGAAAAGACTTCATACTGGGAAAAGGAGAGGGTCAGAGGAAGAAAAGAAGACCCTCAACCAGATGAACTGACACAATGACAACAACAACAGGCTCGAACATGGTGGGGATTGTGGGGATGGGCAGAACAGACCTGTTGTTCACAGGATCTCTATGAGTCAATGAGATCTACTCGAGGACACTTAACACGTTCTAGACACCTGCGAGGCACTAAAGATGCAGTGTTAGACAAGACACCTGATCCTCACCTCCATGGGATCCCTAACCAGTCTACCTTCTCATCTCTTCTGTTACTCTAGTTCTTTTGTGGGTATATGTGTGTTTTATATATAAAACAGCAAAGGAAGCTCTGGTGGCCTAGTGGCAAAAAGCTGAACTGCAGTCCCAGAGGCACACAGTTCAAATCCACCAGATGCTCTGCTGGAGAAGGAGGGACAATCTCCTCCTGTATCTGTTACATCTCATTTGAGGGTACACACACACACACACACACACACAAAATAATAAAAGAAAAAAATTTGAAAAACCAACACAAAATACAAACAAACAAACAAAAACCAAAACAGTAAGTGCTTTTCTATCTCCTGAAGAACCAAGTTTCCTCCCCTTGGCACTGACGTTGCCCCTGCCGAAGATGTACAATCTAAAATGATTTAAGTATCTCTGTTATATCTAGGTCTTTACGGCTATGACTATAGTGCACGTGTTGGACAATTGTGAACAATGTTACTTTATTATTTTTCAGCAAGGATGTCTTAGGAAACATTCAACAAAACATGGTTTGATTTGAGAGTAGAAACCTTTTAAACTGTTGCTATTGTGTGCCACTGAGTTGGAACCAAGCCACAGCAGACCTTCTAGTGGGTTTTCAAAAACAGTAAATTGCATGGGAGATTGGCCCTCTCTCTCCTACAGAGCTGCCTATAGCATTGCAGCACAGCTTCTTACCACTAGGCCACCAGAGCTCCCTAGATTAAGTTACGAAATCTTTAAAACAGTGGCAAAAACAGAGCCGCCGTCTCGATTTTCAAGTGGAGCTAATACTTACTCCGTCCGAATGCTGACATCGAGCTCCACATCCTCCAGGAATTTGTTGGCCACCAACTCCAGGGCATCTGTGGGCCAAGACTGGAACCAATCAATTGTACAGCAGTTGATCAATGAAGGGAACATCCGAAGACGGTTCCGGAAGGCATCTCCAATTGGACTCATGGCTTAAGAAGAATGACTTTGTTAATTCCTTTCTCTAAAAGCAAGGAGATTCCCCAAGGGAAAGGTGCATATTTCTAAGAGTCCTGGCTGGGCAAGAGTAGTGTATGGTTTCCTGTAGTTTTTCCAGGCATGTGATAGAAACAGCCATTGTTAAGTGCCTGGGAGACCTAATGGGAGCCTCTGGATTTTCATGCAGCCTTGTAATGGGAACTCAATTTATAATAGCCTCTTCTTGACTCTGCTAGCCACTTAGCCAGGAGGGTCTGACTTCTCTGCACCACTTGCTTCATTTGTCCTAAGTCAAAGATATAAGAGAGTGAGGCATTTCCCCATAGTTGGCTCTGAAGACAAGAGAAACGCAGAGCTTGGTTTGAAATGAGGGTGGAAACAGGCACCCTCCTTATAAGAGCACTTGTTATGAATTTTTATCTTTTTCCTGAAGGGCAGCTATTTTTTTATCGGTTTGCATATAATCATTCATATACATTATATTTCATATATTTAATGACTACTGATTCACATCTTTTATCACCCTGTCTCATTGAGTAAGGAACAGCTATTTAAATGTTTGTGTGCATGTGTCTGAGAAAGACACAGAGGTTACAAAGACACATTTGTAATGATTGCCAGGAGGGACCAGTCCTTGGAGGACATCATGCTTGGAAATATGAAGGGACAGTAAAAGAGAGGAAGACCCTGGAGAAGACGGAGGGCACAGGAACTGAAGTAATAAGGGAAGGTGTGTCAGAGACAGAGTGGCTCAGGAAGGGCAGGGTTAAGAGCTATTGTGCATAGGGTCGTAACAACAACGAATGAAGGAAAGCTTCTTGGTTTTGCGGAACAGAAAGATCTGGAAGGGACAGAAGCAGGCACTAAGTTGCAGAGGATAGGTTTGGGTAAAATAACGGCAGTTTAGTTAACGTGAAGGTAGAAGAGATGGAGACAAATAGACAAGAAAGATACCTGGGGGCTGAGAATCAGCAGACTTGGTCAGATGAAAGTGGTATCAAACACAACTGCTAGGTTTCTGCACCCAGAGGGGAAAACCCCAACAGACTGCACGCACTGCTTCTTACCAAGGACGATGTGAAGGTTCTTCTTGACCCTCTCGATGAAGAAGTTGTACATCGAGAGAGGTGTGATTTCCATCTTCTCTCCTTCCGTTCTGGCCGCCGTTTGCATCTTCTCCACAATGTCAGCCTTCTCGTCAGCGGCGAAGATGTTGGGCACGTCGCCTGTGTTCAGCAGCATGTTGATGTCCTCCACAAAGGACTCGTCCTTGATCTGATTGTCAGAGAAGAGGAACACAGTGCTCTTGGTGGCCACGCCGACCTGCAGCATGATCTTCTTCAGGTCCTCTCGCCAGTCACTGCCCGTGTAGTTCCGGGTGATCTCGATCTGGTAGAGCTCATAGGAGTTCATGAAAGTGGACAGCTTGGTGGCGCTCTGCCGCCCGCTGCCCCCAATGCCCACCAGGAGCAAGTGGCCTTTGTTTTGCTTCAGGACCCTGCAAATCCGGGATATGTGCTCAATGGCAAACTTGAACATGACCAAGGACATGGGGGCCTTGCTGATGTTGTTATACTCCTCCAGGTAGTAATCCATGACAACTGTGAGTTGCCTCAGGTCCGTGATCTCATCATAGATTTTCTGCTCACTCTCTGGTTGGAAGAAATCACCAAAGAAGAGACTCCGAATGTTATCATCAGCGATCTTTCCGGTGGGTGAGAGGTGGATGAGGACCTGCGGGAAAGGTCAAGGATCATCTAAGCATGCAATCAGGGAGCTCTGGTGGCTTAATGGGAAGGAGTCGCGCTGTCAACCCAAAGGCACAAGGTTTGAAGCCACCAGCTGCTTCATGGGGAATCTCCTCTCATACGATATACTGCCTCTGAAAACCCAGTGGAGGATCAGCTAGGAATTGGTTCTGACTTGATGGTACACAACAATACCAAGAAACATTGACTCAGCCACTCCATCAGGACAGCGGTGAATCATATATCATCATACTGTAAACTCTTTTGATGACCCAAACCTGTATGCAAGTGAAGCACAACTGGCTGAAATAAAACACTGGCCAATCAAGTGACTATTTGACTCAGTCTTGTTGTTATTGCTATGTACTGATGAGTCACCTGTGACTCACAGCGATCCCATATCCAACAGCTCTGAACCCTGCTCTATCTTGAGCCAATTTCGCTGTCCCTAACACATGTACCTCTATTACCTCAGTCACTGAGTCAATCCATCTCATCCAGGGTCTTCCTCTCTTACGCTGTCCCTCCACCCTCCCAAGCATGACGTCCCTCTCCAAGGACTGATCAGTTCTATTTCTCCAGAGATCAGAGAGCACTCCACTGGGATCACAGCCTGAAACCTGAAACTACTTGGTCAAACACTTGTGACCAGTTGTGAGGCCAACCGATCAAAGAGTCCGACTTACCTTTTCCATGGTTTGCTTGAAGCAACTGGCAGTGGTTTCTTTCACCATGTTGAAGAAGACCTGTCTGTCCTCCTGATCAATCAGACGGTCATAGAAGACTCGATATACCTCATGGATCCAAAGCCGGATAAGTTTTTCTGCATCCTGAAGATTGAGACATAATGATTTGAAGGAATGAAAGGTGGTATCTGAGGGGGAAACTGCCAAACAAAGATAAATGAGTGGACATGAAGATTAAATCAGATTATGCTTATGAAACACTTGACACAGACTAAACTCTTACTTGCTGTTGCTGAGATCCTCCAGTGGGTTTTCAGAGGCAGAAAATCCCACGAGAGGAGATTGCCCATCCTTCTCCCATGAAGCAGCTGGTGGATTCAAACTTCATGCCTTTAGATTGGCAACCCAACTCCTTAACCACAAGGCTACCAGCACTCCCCAAATTCTAAATGAAAGTTAGCTGCTAGTTAGTATTATAATGTTATGTTTCACATAACCAAAGATATTGCTGAGTGACGCTGGCAACAGAAATGACAGTGGCTGACCTGCAGGTGGGTGTGAGGGCAGAGCAGCACCCCCTGGATCACTCGTGAGAAGTCCCGCAGGTTGAAGACATAGTGGGACTTGGAGGGAGTTGGCAGGAAATTCTCAACTGCGGCTTTGTAAATTGTCATGGTAGCATGTACCAGCATCTTTCCGTACCTTGGGGAGGAGAAGGTAGACCAATCAATGTGGGATCCACCGAGAAGACCCCCAGAGAAATCTCAAGGAAGACACGAGGGCCTCTTACCTTAAGAATATCACATCAAACCCTTTGCGAAAGTGCCAGTCAACGATAGAACTGAAAATCTTGGTCAAGGTGTCATCCTCAAAGGCGTTGATGGAAATGATATTCAGATGGCGAGTGAATCGTCCTGGAAAACACGTTCATACGTGAGATGACACAAACACTCACACTTAACTTGCAGCACAGTGTTAGATGCCATCAAGTCCGTTCTGACACATACAACTCATGAGCATCAAAGGGACTACCTGATCCTGCCCCATCTTGTACGGGATGCTTGGGCCCACTGCTGCAGACACCATGTCAATCCATCCACCCTCTGTTTTCACTGATTTCCACTTGACCTAGCATAAGGCATTGTTCCAGGCCGTCACTCTTCCTGATAACACGCTCAAATGTTGTTGTTGTTATGTGCCATCGAGTTGCTTGCGACTCATAGTGACCCTATGTACAAAAGCCCTAAACTCTGCTCTGTCCTGTGCCAATCGCACTATCACTGACACTCCCATCCCGATTACCCCAGTCACTGAATCAATCCACCTCATAGAGGGCCTTTCCCTCCTGCGCTGTCCCTCCACCATACCAAGCATGATGTCCCTCTCCAAGGACCGGTCCCTCTTTACAACATGTCCAAAATATGTCAGATGAAGCCTCAGAATCCTTGTATCCAAGGAGCTGCCTGGTTTAACCCTCTCCAGGATGAATCTGTTTGTTTTCCTAGCAGTCCATGGTACTCTCAATACCCTTCTCCAGCACCACAGCTCAAAGGCATTAATTCTCCTTCTATCCTCCCTAGTCATTGTCCAACTCTCTGATGCATAACAAGTGAGTGCAAAGACCATGGCCTGTATCAGATGCACTTTAGTCTCCAGAGAGACACCATTGCTCTTCAGAACTCTAGAAAGGTCCCTAACAGCAGACTTTCCCATCGTAATACGTCTTTTCATTTCCTGGCTACTGGTGCCAAGGCAGTAACACGCCCAAAGATATCAGATGAAATCTCAGCAACCTCACATCCAAGGTGCATGTTTTCCAGGATAGATGTGTTTGCTCTCTTGACAGTCTGCGGTATATTTAACATTCTTCTCTAACACCACAGTAAAGTTGGCACAGGATAGAGCAAGTGTCAGGGCTATTGTACATAGGGTCGTTATGAGTCACAAGAGACTCGATGGCACATAACAACAACAACCACCACCACAACACAACACAACAAACTGAAAGTAAGCCATCCTTATTTCATCCAACTTTCACATACATATGAGGCAACTGAAAACACCATGGCTTGAGTTGGGCACATCTTAATCTTCAAGTTCCTCGCTTTTCTTATTGTAATACATTAACCACATAAATCAATATTGCTAGGAGGGACCAGTCCTTGGAGATGGACATCATGCTTGGGAGGGTGGAGGGACAGTGCAAGAGAGGAAGGCTTTGGATGAGAAGGATTGGCACAGTGACTGGGGTAACAGGGGGGTGATGTGTCAGAGACAATGCAGCTAGCACAAGATAAAGCAATGTTCAGAGCTATTGTACATAGGGTCGCTATGAGTCACAAACGACTTGAAGGCACATAACAAGAAGAGAACAACAAATCAATGTTAGTTAATGTATGATTTGTAAACCTTCATTAAAATAAAAATAAAAACAAAAAAACAAAGTCAAAACTAATCCTCATGCTCTTCCTATGAGTGGCCTCAGGTGATCTCCCAAAATGGTTTGCACTACTCCCTTGACCTGGAAAAATCCCACAAAATCATGCAAATCAAGAGGCTCAAACCTCCTGGTCCATTTAAGAAGACTTGGGAGACTGCCCAGGCCATTAAGAGTATGTATATCCTGAAAGCCATCAAGTATGGGGAAGATGTCACTTTGCAAAAGTGGTGTGTGCTGTTCTGATGTTAGAATGATGGAGCTGGTAGGAGCAACCAGGCCAAACAGTGGGTAGGGTTGGTGGCCTAAAAAGAGTGCCAAGGTTTTTATTGCATATGTTTAAAAACACAGAGAGCAATGCTGAACTTAAAGGTTTAGACGTTGATTCTCAGGTCGAGCCCATCCAGGTGAACAAAGCTCCTAAGATGCACTGCTGTATGTCCAGAGCTCATGGTCGGAGTAAGCCCTATATGAGCTCGCCCTGCCAGACTGAGATGATCCTTACTGAAAAGGAGCAGATTGTTCCTAAACCAGAAGAGGAGGTCGCCAAGAAGAACAAGATCTCCCAGAAGAACAGAAGAAACAGAACTTTAAGGCTCAGGAATAAATGATTGAGCATTAAATAAAATTCAAATAAACTTAAAAAAAACCCCCAACAACAATAAATTCCTAATCCTTACTGTTTAGTATTTTTAAAGACGTCCTGGGCAACCTATCTATCTAATTCAATATACATAATTTGATTTCTTGACTGTGCATTGACAGCATTGATTATGAATTCAAGTAAAAGGAAATACTTGACTTGAATTTTTGTTGTTGTTTTTATTCCTTGTGTACTGTTGAATCGGATCTGACTTGCACAGGAGGAGTCTGCCCCTCCTTCTCCAGCAGAGCATCTAGTGCTTGACTTCCATTTTTAATCTATTTATCACGGCTGTTTCCTATGGTTTGGTTGTGAGAATTTTTATTTTTTTAATGTTGACAGTATAATCCACACTGAAGGGTATGGTTTTTGATCTTTATGAGGAAGTGTGTCCGCTCTTAGTTTTATCTGAGCAAAGGTGTGTGCTGCATATGTATTGCAGGTTAATGAGTTTTCCTCCAATCCTGATCCAGTTCAGCTTTTTGGATTATTTCTTTAGCATACAAACTGAAATGATACAGCTCTGTGGTTTTTATCATGTAACTCATGGTGAAATGATATAATCCGTTACATAATGACATACTTCTCAGCTTTCCTGATTTTAGACCATTCGACATCCCTTTGTTCTGTTCGAACGACTTCTTCTTGGTTCATGTTTAGGTTCCACATAAGCAGTTTTAGCCTTAGGCAGCCACTAATCTTGTGTTTCTATAGATTTATCTACATTTCTTTCTAAAAATAACTTTATTGTAAAGTAAAACGTAGATATAGAACACCACACAAAACAAATGCATGTTTTGATGCTTCCTGAAGCATTATGAGGTTCATAAACCTGTAGCCACCTATCAGGAAAGGTTATCAGGAGGGATCAGTCCCTGAAGATAAATATCATGCTTGGTAAAGTAAAGGTTAGTATGAAAAATAAAGACTCAATAAGATGACAATCAAGAGTGCACTGGGAAAGGCGGCAGTCAGGAACCTCTCTGAATTAATGAGCAACAATGCCACTTTAAGGGCTAAGGTGTGCCTGATTCAGGCTATGGCTTTTTTAAACACTTGCTATGCATCTGAGAACTGGACAATGAAGAAAGATGACAGAAGAATGGATACCTTTAAGTTATGGTGCTGGAGTTGAATATTCCATGGACTGCCAAAAGAATACTTGGAAAAAGTACCTTCAGAGTACTCCTTGAAGGCAAAGATAACTTCATCCTTAGTTGTTGCTATTTGCCATCAAGTCACCTGCGACTCATAGCGACCCCTCTGTACAAGGGCCAGTCTTGCTGACTCTGACACACCAACCCCCACTGCTCCAGTTACTGTATCAATCCATCTCATCCGGGTCTTCCTCTCCTGTACTGTCCCCTCTACCCTTCCAAGCATGATGTCCTTCTCCAAAGACTGGTCCCTCCTGGCCACGTGCCCAAAGTATGTGAGATGGAGCTTCAAAATCCTAGCCTCCATGGAGAAACTTAATGTCACTGGTGGCCTAGTGGTGAGAAGCTGCACTGCAATCCCAAAGGCACCACCAGCTGCTCTGTGGGAGGATGGACAATGTCCTCCTTTGTGATTTACTGTCTCTGAAAACACACTGGAGCATCAGCTGTGGGTCAGTTCTGACTGGATGGTACACAAAACCAATAACTGATATTGCACAGGGCCACTGTTGTAGAATGGGACTGACATCAGGGTTGGGGTGAGACTGAGAAAAATTGGATAAATTATGTATACTGCATTGAAACAGATGAGGGGGAGAACAGTTTAATAGCAATACATGATTGAGTATTATCGTTATGACAAGAGTCCAGAAACAAGGTTGCACAGTGGAGCCTACTTGGGGCAGGGGCAGACATTGTACATCAACGAAGGAATTTTACTTTTCAAAGAGAAGAGCGAACTGGGGGTGGGGGGGAGAGGGCAGGGAGAAAAATGCAACAATGAATGAGTGGAAATCCAAAATCTCTGTAAATGTTCATTAAAATTAATTTAAAAAATAATAAAATAAAATTTTAAAAAAACCCTTAAAAAAACACAAATACAAAACCCCCCCAAAACCAATAACTCCTTTTGAGTCAATTCCAATGTACATACTCTGGTAGGAGAGGCTACTCTTTGGAGAGGGACATCATGCTTGGAAAGGCAGAGGGGTCAAATGAAAGAGAGAAAGACCCTCAGCCAGTGGACTGACAGAGTACTGCTGTAAAAAGTTCAAGTATGTCCGAAATAACAAGGCTGGCACGGGACAGGGCAGGGTTCAGATCTGTTGCTCACAGGACCACTGTGAGTTGTACTCAATGGCACCTAAGACCACCACCAACATTATGGACTGAGAGATTGGGGTAATGAGGGTAGGTATGTCTGAGACAATGAAGCTGGCATAAGAGAGAGCAGGGTTCAGAGCTGTTGTCCATAGGGTTGTGATGAATTGCAACTCTTGATGGCACATTAACAAGAACAAGTTTTTACATGGTATAAAGATTTGTTAAAAAATTTTATACTGGTTTACTTGCAAAGTTTGTATCTGCTGTTTTTCCATGCTGATCTCTCACCTTTCCTTTACCAGCCACACTCTCCACCCTTTAAATTGTGCAACCCTATGATTAAGCCCACCTCCCACCTCATTCTCACCCCTCTGTTGTTCCTCCCACCCACCTTAGATCCTCGTACTTGTTCTACAATAATGGTCTTATACAGTATTTGTTTTTATGAGACTGCGTTCCCTCAGCATAATGCTCTCCAGTCCCTCCTAAGTTAGGTAGCAATTTGCAAAATCATTGCTCCTGTGTGCTGCACAGTACAAATGGTATAAAGATTCTTAACCAGGTATAAACAAAAGAACATGAATACAGACACTTCTAGACCTGGATTGAGTTGCACCTACTCCTTGTTGCTGTTCTTGATTGCTGCCGAGTTGAGGTTAACTCCTAGCGACTCTGAACAAAACATCTAAAGCTATCGTTGTTTCTCCAAGTACACAGAGTTTGCAGAGGCATGTGGTTTAGAAAGCGGATGCCACTCCTGCTTCCCAATCTGATTTACAACTGGGAGCCCCACCAAACACTTTACACAATGGGAAACCATTATAATATTTGATATCCCCATGGCACAAGGTTCAGCATAACAGCAAACCTAGGTTAATATCTTTTTCTGTTTTCTTTCTTGCTTAGGATACTCTAGGTCTGAGTTTCTTTCTGGCAACCTGAACAACTTCAAAGAGTACACAGATGCTTCTGACGTGAGCCTCTAACTTAAGGCTTCTGATTTAGCCTTCTCCCTGGAACACTTATTACCACAGTAAACACTCTCCTTGGTATGAAGTTCCTCCAGGAGCTAGGCAAAGACTTAACACATCCTCTTTTTGTCTTCCATTCCTGTTTCAGAGACCTTCCAATGCCACTCCCTGGAGCCAGCTTAAAACTTCACTTCTGCGCCCTAACCACACTTTGTCCCACCCTCACTCAGGAAAGAATGCCTGTGTCACCCCTGTCTTCACGAACGTGGTCTAGCCCTCTAATTGTGTTGTTGTTGTTGTTGTTAAGTCCTGTTGAGTCGTAGCCGACTCATGGTGACCCTGTGAATGAAAGACCTGAGCATGGTTCATAGTTTCCAGAGGCGAGCCATTTTGGAAGTGGATGTCACTCCTGCTTCCAAGCTTGTTCTAATCGGGAAGCTCTACCAAACACTGTCTGCCATGGGCCATGGGTAATCATGGGTAACCCTCTAACAGGCAAAGAAAAATGAACTCTCTCCTTCACGTACCAGTAATGTCATGCCTTCCTCCCCCAGGAGGGCCCATAGCTGTCACAAGCAACACATCTGTGATATCCAGCCTGTTCGCGTCCTTCTTATCAAACCAGTAACCATGGTCGATCCATTGTCTTAAGAGCTCAATGGGGGGCTGAGCTCCGTACACCTCCTTGGCTGGCATATTGAGGTCATCTGCAGAAAGAAGCCAAACCCATACATTGTCAGCCAATGGGATCCTTCAGTCAAACCTGCTCCCCAGGAGAGACTAAGATGACCATCACTCTCTAGGAAGGAATCTGGGTCCAGATGTCCCATCCTCACTGCACCCAGAGCTCATTATGACCAGTGGGGAAAGGGTATTTCTGGGTTCTGGACTCTTTGAAATCTCTGTGTGCTGTAGCTTTAAGGATATATGGCTTGGCATCAACAGAATTTATCTTTTCCCATTCCTCCAATATACTGATTGCTGGTATGAGGTGGAGTTTGTTAATAGCTGGGGATGTGATTATGGAAGACAGTCAGGATACCAGCCAACATAGTATCTAATTTTTTTTTTTCATAGTATCTAATTTGATAAGCAGTAACACTGAGCTCCAGTGGGAGCAAGCTTTTGGAATAAACGTTCTGAGTAGTAACAACCAAATAGCAAGAATTGATGGTGACTTCCTTGAGAGTCAAAATACTTTTTTTTTTGACAGCCAGAATCCTTTTTATTAATGAGTTTAGTAGACTTCTGATCATTTACTTACATATCATTAGAAACAACCAGACACTACAAAAGTACATAAATGGTTGGTGAAGTGGAGTGTTAGTGAACTGAAAAAAAAGGGATGGTGTATTTAGCCACAGTGGGCTCAAAGATACTAACACAAGGATGGCTCAGAATCTGGCAACAT